AACAAGCAAACAAGGTTGGGAGCCACTGCCGTAGAGTGTAAAGACATAGTGAAATATTTCAGATTGCGTTGCAGAGATTTGCTGAGATCTGGATCAAGGATTAAAGATGGCGTCAGTCATGGAAGATGTTGAATAGTGCTGAAAAGTTTTACTATATAAAAGTAAATTTTCTTGCACATGTTCGAGTTTTACCCTCCTTAACTTTCCTCTTTGTTTCAGGCCTACCTTCACTCAATGAGCATCATACACAGAGACCTCAACTCTCACAACTGCCTGGTTAAACTGGTAGGTGACATGGCATCTTACCAACCACTACAGATGAGAACATTTGAACAATAAGAATAAGGGGTGGGAATGATTTGTTGGTTTAATGAACTGAGGAAAAGTAGTTCCCTGCCCTGCGATTTGGCAAGACAGTTGCGTCTATAGAGCCTCCAGGAGCATTTATTATATTAATGGCTCCTTTCCCTTGTAGAGCATTAATTCAGCTTACAAATCCCACTTATTTAAACCTGATATTTTATCATTCTGTCAGTTGGATGTCAGACCAATATTTACTCAGTTATACATGTCAAGTATACATTTTTGTACTAACATGGCTCTTCACTTCAAATGAAGCTCAGAGTGAACTATTAAAACTGTCATCTTTCACCAGGACAACACTGTGGTCGTTGCTGACTTTGGACTCTCTCGACTCATAGTAGAGGAGAAAGTAAAGCCTCCTCCTGAAAAACCCTCCACTAAGAAGAGGGTTTTCAGGCGTATTGACCGAAAGAAGCGGTACACTGTTGTGGGAAACCCTTACTGGATGGCTCCAGAGATGCTCAATGGTGAGCTGCTCACAAAACAATGAATTACCAACTTGATTTACAGAGGATAATTCATTCTGCAGGTCAATGAGTGCATTTACTTCATCTTTCACGTGATGTTATTTCAGGTAAACGCTATGATGAGAAGGTGGATATTTTCTCCTTTGGAATCGTACTTTGCGAGGTAGGAACATGCTGATTTTACCCTGATTATCTGCTTTGATTTTCTGGTTACACAGCTTGCGATTGCAGTGCTTTTTGGCAGGCAATTCAAAAGCCCTGGATGAGGGGACTTCAAGGAAAACTCCAAAAATAGTTTGCAAAACAGCTTCTGCTCACAGCTGTATTATCAGATCGTGACAACACACACTTAGCCAGCAAGTTTCAAGTACAGATCTAAAGTGCAACTACATGCTTTAGAAAATAATAGAACATTACATACAGTAGACTTCACTGTAGCAGATGTGCTAAAAATGTTATTCTGTGCTTTAATCATTCACCCTGATATTTCATTTTAAGTGTGTCTGTATCTAGTAATTGATTTAACATTACTTCCTCCTCTGACTTATGATCCAGATCATTGGAAAAGTCTATGCAGACCCTGAGTGCCTGCCCAGGACGCTGGACTTTGGCCTGAATGTTGGCAAGTTTGTGGAGAAGTTCCTCCCTGACGACAGTCCAGCAGCTTTCTTTCCACTGGCTGTGGCCTGCTGTGACCTCACACCAGACAACCGGTAAGCACCTGCTGTTATTGTAATGGTTAATGGTTTACACTTTGTTTATTATGAGAAGTAATTTTTTTTGCAGAGTTGCTGAGTGGTTGATGACTGCTAATATAATGACCTGAACAAGGCAAAATCAAGAGAGATGCAACAGCTTTGTAGCAAACATTTAAAGAAATGTGTGGGAATAATAGTGTTACCACTCACTCAAATGGCGACATGAGAAACATGTCCACGTTCACCCTGAGACACAGTCTCCTGCCAGTTATTTGAACTCAAGACTCAAGAAACTGTAGAAGCAGAAGGGGAAAAAACAACTACTTTCAGATGCCATTTCAACCTGGCTGCACAGGGACACGCCTCTGCAGCCAGATTACTTCCTCATGTTTTCTCTCAACCTTGTCAGTCTGGTTTTAACCTTAAACCCCTTTGTGTGCCCTCCTTGCCCTTTCCTCTTCCCCCAGTCCACCTTTCCAGAAGCTGGAGGACTGGTTTGAAGCTCTGTCCCTCAACCAGGAGCTGGGGATCCCCCTACCAGCTGAACTGGATGAACTGCATCAGAGTCTGAGTCAACGCCACTGGCCTAAAGACGGCTCTCCAGCGCAGAGCAGCGACCAGCCATCAACCCCGACAGCAGCCTCTCCAGACTCTTCCAGCATGGCAGACAATGGCACCTAGGACCTGTGCCTCCCTTATTTGACCCCTCTAAACTGCTGCACTAATACTGTGGATGTGAAAAAGAGGAAAACTGCATCGAACCCGAGCCATATTAGAACTGGATAACCTGAGGTAGCTGGACGTTGTTCTCCCTGTGTGGGACCTTTACTCTGAAAGTTTCACTCAACTGCAATGTGAGTGGAAAGACGCATTTCAAAAAAAGTGTTGGTTACTAATTCCTTCTTTTTTTTTTTCAAGCCTTCTCAGCCCCCATTCAATGCACACAGGGTTTTACTAATGTTTACTGTGTATAGAGACAAAATGCAACTTTCTGTTATCCTGTCCCTGACTTTTATAAGGTGGGAAAACCTGAGTGAGTCTGGCATGTGACAGCTGTTTTGTTTTCCTGGCTCTGAAGTCGTTGTTTGCCATGTGTGGAATGCACAGATCAGTCCTTGTCCTGAGGAGGACTCACTTCACTGCAGCAGCAAAGAAAACAAAGAGGCTTTAAAGTTAAGCTGATCATTGACATGTCCAAGTAAACAGAGGATAGGTCTTGAAGAAAACAGGAGCAGGCAGTGAAAGCAAAACAACCACTGACCCCAAATAGTTTCATCACTCTGAGATTTGGCACAAGATGGCGAAGGAATGTTCAGATTATTACTTTTTTTTTGTTTAAGCACCACTGACGTAATTATTGACAAGATGGCTACAAGTATGGTTCAGTACTTTGTAGTCTAATGATTTTAATTAATTATCATCTTAGAATGATGAATTAACACTATTTAGATTTTGACATTTTGTTCAAAGTTTCTATCGAACTCCCGATGGCTTTTTTAAAAGACAGGGCAGAAGCTGTTCTGGAAAAGAAGGGCTCTCATTAATAATTACCAGATGTAACCATGCAAGAGTTGACCATAAAAAGTGGCCTTGTACAGAAGAACTGGATTTTTATTCTTAAGCAATGTATATAAATATGTACATATTATGCCTCTAATTGGACATCATTTTCTAATGGGATCTCTAGATTTGTAGATTTTTAGACATTTCGTCAACAATGGACGTTTTTACCTGTTTTGCTATCACCATGCAAGGTACTGACGACCAGTTGTAACCACTATTATTTATATCACTTTAGTATTTCATAAATAAACCTTCAGAAAATTTCCTTTTATTGTCATTCTTCAATTTTGCATGTCAGGAAATGCATTAGAAACAGCTCTTCTGCTACAGTTCAGGACCAAAGTTAAATCATTTATAGATCTGTATTGACCTTAAAACACATGCTGCAACGTATCGGCCATCAGATATGAAAGGAAGACGAAATCAGTTCACAGCAAAAAATGACAAACTAAGATGATTGTGTTTTCAGTGAAGTAATTTAATTGACAAATGATTAATAGATAAATACTTGTATTTTTACTATTGGTTATCCTAAATGATAACTAGGTGGAATGACAAAATATTTAATTGTTTAATATTAATTAAATGAAAATTAATCATTGACTGTAATTTAGACCTCTACTTTTAGCACCTTGGAGTAGAGCTGTGGATAAAAACAACAAATATATTTCAGACAATTGATTGTCAAAATTACTCTCATATCCAATTTAAAATAATTAGAAAAAAAAATCAAGTGTGTCACTATTAGAGTTTATGTGAAAGTCACTGAATAGAATCCAGAGATCCAAACTCTTTTGTCCCAGGTTGATTTGTTTCTGTGGCTTCAGACGCCTCCTTAAATATATTTGTCCCAGTGGTACTTACTTTATTATCTTCACCTGCTTTCTCGGGTGACTCCAATGACTGAGTCAATGTATTTATAGGAACTGCCAACAGAGGGAGCCGGTGCAAAAAAAAAAAAAAAATCCCACTATGAACAACCTTTGAAAAACAAGAGACTTATCACAGCCCAAACATTCCTGCTGTGTTATGTTGTTCTAGTCTGCTTCTGTCATTTTAAATATACAGACTTCATCACACCATAATGTCTGTGCTTGATGTTTTATTTCAGTCTCAGCGGTGAAAATCTGCATTCATACAAATACAAGTACTAAATTCAAATGCTGAACAACAGTATTGTGAACACATTGCGTATATGAAGAAAGTAATCACAGCCAGCACACAGACACTTGAAATAATGGAGCAGCCGTAACCAAAAATTACCAGTGATGTGGATCCAGCAGCAATCACAAAACAAGATTGTCAGGAGTGATGATTGATAAACAAACTGGAAATATACTGGGAAGTAACAATGTCTCATGTGCATCGACAAACTAAAATCCTCCGTGTACGATGATCTCTGTTTTTTAGGCAGGTATTTTCTAAATGTCTTCTTCGAGTAGTTCTACTTTTTAAGATGCAGAAAAAGCGGCCCCCTGAATACAAACATACAGCAGGTAACCGTGCACATGCATTCATGTTTTCGAATGAACACCACCAAACTTTGGACTGTTTCTATTCTACTCCACTCCCTCCACTCTCTACCCTGAAGCATCAAGTGCATGACTCAAATGTCTGAATCTAATCTAGGCACCAGGCTTCTTCAGCACTTCAACACACACACACACACATACACACACTGTCCTGCTCTGCAAAGACAAGATTTCAGACTTTCTCTTTCTCACCCCATCTGTTCTGTGTTGTGGCAGTGCTATTTTGTCCTGAGGACTAACTACTGTCTCTCATGCTTCCTGAGAGCACTCTGTATTTCCTGTCACTCCTTAACCTGTAGAAGAAAAGGGCAAGTCCTCTTTCATATCTGCCAATGGCCGCTGTCGTGCTTTGTAACTGCATTGGCCTGTCAGTCAAGTACAAAAAGAAAAAAAAGATTTATCTGGGAAAAGATAAACAAGTACATTCAGAAGTATCATGCTAAGGCAATTTCTGAGTTGGAGGCCTTCCCTTGTCTTCAGTGGGTCTGTTTTACCTCATGTTCGCGCATCCTGTCTCAGAGGAGGATGGCTATTTTTGGACACACATCTGTGTCACCAGTGTGTCTCCGAGACAAACCAGTCGCATTTTTCCCTCGACACAGCCAGCGGGTCAGCATAAAGGAAAATCAACCACATATTCATCATGTAACGACACCTCCTGTGGAGAGCACCTCTCCCATACAGAAACATACTAAAAAAAACCAAAACATTACCCCACTCCAAACACCATCTCTTTACAAAGAACCATTATAAACACATATTCTCCAACGTCCATTTGACTAGATATTATACTACATATTCATACTGTTATTTAGGGGGGCAGCCCATCAAATCTATCAAATATGAATATTAAAGACCTCATGATACATAACAACAGATTGACCTTAATGGTTTCTAGTTGTTAAGACTGTGTCCATTGTGTGTCATCTTATCGTTTTTGTGCCCCAGATGTATAAAACCTTAAGGAAACAGGACACAGCATTCAGTTCAAGTCTTTGGAGCGAAGACGACTCCCCTTCTCCTTTTTAAAAACAGAAGTTACTCAGGGAGGTGGAAAGGAGAAACGGGGAGATAGGAGTGTTTTGGTCCACAAAAAACATATCACAGTCCTGTTTGAGGACTACACATGCTGCTCATGCTCCAGGGGTACCAGCTTGCTGGCCCATGAGGGGGTCCCCGCCCTCCTCCACACTCTCCTGGACGGGGGTTGTCTCGTGCTCTGCTGTGATTACGATGGTGTTCTCATCGACCAGCTCACAGGTGGGGTTGGAGAAAGCCGACAGGGGTAGGGTGATCCTCTGCATCTCGCGCTCATACACTCGCTGGTCATGCTGCTTCTTTAAGTCTCGACCCCTAAACAGCAACACACAAAGGAGGTTCATTAAGATTTCAAGTTCTCTCTGTTTTGGTCTCCACCAACTCTTTAGCTGCTAAATGCTCCACTATGTTCAACAGCTAGTCACTAACTGTGTGTGTCTGCTGTTTGAAGCCGAGCAGGTTTACCAACTGTGGGTTTATCAGAGATTTCCTACTCAAAACAGCTGCCTGCTGTGGCTGAAAACGATAGTATGAGCGTGGTAAGAGTGAAAGTTTTGGAGGAAAAAAAAACAAAACCAGGAGCTGAAAGAAGCTAAATTACTCTGTTGAACTGAGGTGAGCTGTAGAATTATGTGTTCATCAATTCCTCCTCACGAACAAGTAGTCATGTGATATTCCAATAAAGTGATGTTATTCTAAACAATTTAATTAATACTGAGTTAAAGATCAAAGCTATCATGCAAATTACCAGTGTGTAAAAACGTAGTTTGCTGGTATTATAATAAACATAGCGCTTATAATGATGCCTTCAGTAATCTTGTAGCAGTGTTTTTGGGGGCCACCCAAGCTAAATATTCATGATAAGTAGCTTCTGATAACATACTGTATGTAGATTACGGCCTGTTATAACAAGTGCCTGGCCTGTAACAAAGTCGAGGGACAGATGGTGAAAGGGAACAGGGAGCTGACAAGCTGGCGAGGAGTTTATCTACTCCAAGGCAACACAGTGATGGGACACAGCATGAGGCTGCTTTCTACTGATCTGCAGCCAAAACAGGCCAATATATTCTTGGACTCAAAATACCTCCTACTTGCCTGCTCCAGTGCAGCACATTGTGCAACTCAAACTGAAACACCGCATATCACCACCAATTCTTTACACAAAAGGTGTGGTTACTTTTAGTTTGAACTGTATCTGGGTTTTTTTTTTTAGTTCCTCTGCTTTCTCACGATCCCCAAAAACCTTTTTGCTTAGATTAATACCGCTCTCGCGTCTGTCCAGTATGTAGTTAGCCAGCGGTTAGTTGGCTTAGCTTAGCATAAAGACTGGAAACAGTGGGAAAGCCTGGCTCTGTCCGAAGGTAACAAAATCTACCTAAAAGCACCTCTAAAGCTCAATATTTAACATGTCGTCTCTTGTTTGATTAAGGTTAGCTTTTATTTTAGGTTATGTCCCAAACAATTTCTTCACCAAGACCAGAAACTTTCATGGAGCTAGTTGCCTGGCAAAGTACCCAGGATTGCTGTTCCCCCATTTCCAGTCTTCCTGTTAAGCTACCAAATGACACAGGGTAAAAACTCTTGGCCATCACTGCGGAGCCTCGGGCTTGTCAGGGTGCTATTTGTTCAAGTGGATGGGAAGCCTGCAAGGGAGCAGCATCCTTGTCAATACAGGACCTACTCCCACTGGTCGGTTGAGAGCTCCTAGTGGGGATATAGTATGAACCTCTGCACACACTACACCTCTACACCCTCTGCCCTAGAGGGCAAAGAATCATTTATATTGCAGGAGGCACACAGTAGGCCACGGCCACTCCTGGCCTGTGGAGGGGCAGCTGAATTGCGACGAATATGAGCATGCATGCAGCACATCTATCACATTACCGAGGGTGATGTCACTGTACCCTGAGAGCAGGTATAAACCCTCTGACATAATATGCTGCTCCTCCTTATTAATAATCACCTCCTAAAAATAGAAAACAAATACAGGGGCACTGCTAATCAGATTTGACAGCCAAGAACAGATCTGTAAGGGTCATTTTGTGCTGTGCCAAAGGGAATCAGAGCAGAGTGCCCCTCTTTTACAAAGCTGGGCCCATCTTTTTAAATATTACATAACTGCAGCGAATGTGAGGGCTTCTCCATCCCATCCAACCCTTCCTCCACGCTCTCTTCTCTTTCAAGAATATAAAGTAAGAATGCTTAAAATAGACTGCAGGCACTTCATTTGCTGCCACGTCCCTCCGCATGCTCTGTTGTGGTTGTTGTAAAAGAAATAAATAAATAAAAAGATATTAAAATGGCTGCATTACATCCAAGTGGAACAACGGAGAGCATTGTTGGGGAATGTGAACAACAGCTGATGCCCTAAACTCAAGAGACCATTAACGCACATGCTATTATGTGGTACAGCTAAACATACTGGCATTCGTCCCGCACATCTCGAAGCTATCAACAGCGCTGCATGTGCCAGAACAGGAATGCAAGAAGGATTTACAGCATCACATCTTTGCTTTTCACAGTTACAGCAGATGTATGCCATGTAATGATGATGTCCTGGAAATAAATAAATAAATAAATAAATAAATAAACGCTCTATACTGGGTCCTCTTTCATAATGTTCCTCAATTACTGAACTAAATTTGATGATTTTGCTGTGATTTAGATACTGACCTCTTATAGAAGTAGCCAAATGTGATGCCTACACCAAGGACAATTATAATCGCCATCATGAGTATGCCAAGGACGTAGCCTGAAAAACAAATTGAGAACATAAGTTAGTGTGTACCACCAATATCATATCATACATGTTGTCAGAGTAACAACAACTACAACATACCGAGTGTGCCAAGGTCCTTTTTCTTTTTGGGTCCTGTGCGCACCCGCTGGCTGATTCCCATCACCGGCTGCACCGCAGCAACTTCTCCCTGAGAAGGTCCTGACTTGGCCGCCTGAAAGCTCTCCGTGGAGGGAGTGGTTCCTGTGCGAGTGAGGGATCCGGCTTCTGCTGGCACAGTCGAGCCTTCTTCTAAAATCATAATTAAACAATGCCGGTTTTAAAAACAACAGTGTTAAAAGTGACTTTTTATTGAATCACACTGTGAGTTGTGTTTGTGTTGATCAAAGTAAAATATGTCCCTCAGATACAGGTCAGTTTTAGCCATATACAATCTTTATTTAATTGTGACCGGTAACTACTTTACTCATTTTTATTTCTCTAGTCCACCTCAATCATCCTGTGCAGAATACTCTCTCCACAACTGTAACCATTTGTAGAAAATTTGATTACACAGATTAGGCAAAATGACAAAACTAGGCCACTATAGATTTGTACATCAGATATTGTACTGCATACCATCAGATATTTTGTGATCAAATCATTTATACCTTGTTATCTCTCCATCTAATATTTTAGGGTAAATTAGAGCTTTATGGCTGTTTTATGTTTGGATTTTTATATGATTTTGATGATGAAGTATCTTTCTTGGTCAGTAACTAAATTGGCTGAATTAGCCAGAAGTTATTCTGTCCAAAAAACAATAAACAGCTTCCAGGAAACTTCCTTTATCACAGCACATATCACAATATTAAGTTACATATTATATTTATATACAGAATACATATGAATTTCATCCATATCTTCCATTATCAAATTATCAAACTACACAGATTTTTAGCTCCATGCCAATTCAAGCACATTAAAAAGATGTAAAGTATTAACACAAACAGTTTACCCCTCAAATGTTATTACACTACATAACACTGCACGAATCCATTCTTTATGTTTATGGTACTTAATCTGATTTATCTCTAACTGCATCGTCTTTCAGTGTTTTATTAATGTTCTTTGATTGTATTGTGTGTGGAGACACTTGATGCACTTAGAAAACACTTTGTCTTGATTTGACTTGACTAGAAGTGCATCATCTGGACCGTGTGGTTTCCAATTACTGTTGGTCCAATAACATTACCACTGACGCAAAAACCTCCTCAACAGCAGGACGAACACTGCTCTCATGTAGCTGTTGGAACGTAAATCAGTTAGAGGTTTGACGAGCGCATGCGTTTTTCACATGTGCCAGACACATACAGGCTCTGCACGCTCCACTCTGCTTCGTGAGACAGGAAGTTCATCGGCAGATAACAGCATCTGCGCTTTAACTTTTTTTTTTCTCCACTTCCTTCTTACAAGTTGTTGTTTACCAACTCCCCAGAGTTAAAGAGCATGAAGTCATAAATTCAAGCAGCCAATCAGCTGCTGTCTCCAAGGGGAGACTGTTCTTCTCTGCAAATGAGCTTTTAGGGTGTGGTCAACGCCTTTCTTGAAACTGATCTTTCTGCCATGTGACGGCAGGGCTTTGTTATTGTGTGACTTGGGTTGGTTCCCGAGACAAAAAGGAAACAAAGGGCAAAGTATACAAGACTTCTCAGAGCAGCTTAGTACTGACCAACTGACCTAATACAGACTAATACTCTTAACTGGGAAAAGTAAAAGTAAAGTAAATCAGTAACGCATCTGTCAAATGAGCACACGTTTTTTTTTTCTTTGTGGTAAAAGTTTTTTATTGGCCCATCAAAGTTTAAAACTTGGCTGCATCCTCTCTCACCATTCTCTCTTTTTTGTGTTGAGTAATTGGGACATTTGCATAGCTACAAAAATTTCACCTCATTATTTTTCCCTAGCATAGCCCACTTTTTTAAAATAATGAGAGGTTTACAGGGAAGAAAAAAAATAATTGCAGCATCAGCATCATCAAGAGAAGCTGCTGTTTCAGTGTTGTTTGTATTTAATTGGAATATGCATATTTATCTTTGCCTGGCCGGACTTTTATAGTTGCAGTTTTCTATATATGTCACACATGTTGATGATACCTACCTTCGCATGTGTCAATTGCACAGGACTGTTTCTGGACTGTCCCATCTGGGCCAGCAATGTAGCACCAAGGCCTCTCAGAGGAGTCTGGGTTTCTGCAGTAATTGTGATCTCCAACACCTACAAGAGATAAAAACAGCACACGTCTGTTACAGATGCCTCATGGAAATACAGGTTTGTCTGTGTCTGTCTGCCTGTCCGTCCCTGCTGTGTGGGTAAACCACTGGATTCATTAATCATTAACACTACTTCATCACACTACAATGAACAGGCCACCATGAGCACAAAGACAGGAAACAGCAGCTGCTGTATAAAAGACGCCATTTAACTCTATAAACACGCAAATCAGTGCCGCGGTATCTGAAGTGTGGGATGTAAATATCATTAATGTGTTTGTTGCTTCACGTTTGTGAGATTACTTGCAATCATGTGGTGTATGTTATGGCATTGTATCAAAATCTCAAAGATGTCAGAGGAGAGAGTTGCCCCCTGTAAAAACAGTGTTGTACCCATCGACACAAGAAACATTTTAAACCGCCGGTCTTCATCATGAACCCAACGCAGAGAAAACGAAGAGAGAAATCACAAGTTCATCTTTCATTTAATGGGACATTCCCCATCTGTATAAGAAGACGCATCAGTTGAAGTAGTTTACCTGTCTGAGAATCAGGATGCATTTCAACATCATAGTCTCTGGAAATGTTGGACCAGTTTAGACAGGTCAGACCTGAGAAGGAGCTCTCTTGGACCCCTCTGTACTCCACACCATTGGATCTCATGCAGTCTGAGAATAACATAAACATAAAAGAGATTGTACAATCAAAAAGAGGAGAAGAAAAGAAAATCATAAATATTATTATGTATGTAATTTGAATTAAACCAGACTGGATTGGGTGGACTTTTTTTGAACAACAAATAGGAAATTCAATGCAAAAAATAGTCCATAATTTGTCATTTTACCTTTTTGGTTTCCATTTGATGCACTGCTCTCCACCATCGCCACGCTCAGGAAAACAACGTGCAAAGAGAGGAACATTTTGCAGAGCTGACGGACTGAATTCACCGACAACATGGTGCGCTGATGTGCGTTTTTTTCCCCTCTAAGAATTACAAAAAGGCAAATCAAATATAAAATGTTGATGAAGTGGATGAAGAGCCTGTGCTGCATGTGCATCAGACACACTGCTCCTCTCGCTGGAGTCCCAGCCCTTGTTTTTGTCAGAGAAGCTCAGCTTTCTTCGTAAACAGCCTTCAGTGGGAGGAGGAGGAGGAGGAGGAGGAGGAGGAGCTGTCCTTTGCAGTACAAACCTCAAGGTCCTAAAGCCTCACCGGCTTCTCACCTCACACACATACACACACACAAAAACAAAAAACACACAGGAAAGAACATCAACTGAAAACAGTCTGGCAACTTATCATGGCGTGCAGCCTTGTGAGAAGAAGCACATCGTCAAAACAGTCAGGATGGAAAGTCAAGGAAGTTCATCCACATTTTTTAAGATGAAAAAATAAGGTTCTGGTTGCTTCCATAATCCACCGTCTTAACTTTTTTTGCTTTTTCCTTTTTCCTGCCCAGGAATTATTCCCAAGCTTATTACATTTTCTGTGGCTGTCTATAAATAGCTGCTCTTCTTTCCATTTTCATTTGAAAGTACACTGAGTCATTACTTTCCATGTATAATCCTCATCCAACTGCAGAGCCTTATCTGGCTCAAAGTGCTTGGTGCATCTGTCCAAACCCAATCTTCCTGTTTCCCAGGCTTCCTTCCACTCCACCAGGGTTGTGGTCCGCCACTCTTGGTCAGAGGTGGGCTCTGCAGGGACTGTTAAAGGACAGCTGCCAATAGCATTTGCTTCTATCTGGCTGTGCACAGGGAGATGTGCACTGAGAGCGGAGAGGCCCTGTGTTATTGTTGGCTGATGGGTAAAGAGGACAGCCAGCACGTGACTCACTCAATGTTCACTGAGCCACTTTTCAAATAGATGCTTACCCAGTTTTCGGGCAATTACTAGAGCAAACACACAGCATCTGTCTGGCACTCTCCATCACACTCTGCTCATTCAGGGTTACAGGGGGCAGGAGCCTCTCCCAGCATGCATTGGGTGAAATAAACAAGTCACTAGACCATTAAAAGGTTAAATATATATGGGACTGACCAAAAAATGACAAAAAGTCTGTTGTGGTTTTAAAAAATAGCTCATAACGAGTCAAAATTATGCAAAAATTTAAAAATTATAAAAAATGTGTTTTTTATCCTTTCCTCGCAGAAATTGAAGTCCATGACGACCTAACCTGAGCTGATATTAAGTGATTCAGTGAAGCTGCTGAAGGCTATTTCAGGAATGTGATTTTTTGTCTCATAATTTTAACTTCCTATGAACCTTTTTATTTCATATGATGACAAACTTTTTAGAACCTGACTTCTATATCCACCTAAACTGAGCTGGAGTTGACTGATTCAGTGAAGGTGGCAACAACTGCATTTGAAACTTAAGCTATATGATCCCTTCACAAAGATTATTTTTGTTTCAAAACACTGAAATTCTTTTGAGCAAACCATAATATACCACAGTAAACTAAAAGTCAAGTCATTACAGGGTTCACATTGTACAAGACTGATTTTTCACAGTGTCCACTACTTCAAGTGAGCAATGTTTGTACAGTGGTACAGTAGCCTTTGTTTGCACTATTTACTGGGAATTTTAAGCTTTGCAAAAGCTTTGGAAAATAAACCTAATGGAAATAGCAATGATCGTATAAAACACAAACATTTCTGCAAAGTAATGAATTCAACAGTACATTTTATTATATTCAGCATAAACAGTTCTTTTTAAAAATCAAAATGCAGTTAAACTGACAAAAACTCTTCTTTTGAAATGGATTTCATTCATTAAGATTTTTACTGTCACCCTGATTGTAGAATAGAAAAAAAATTGATTCCCTCCATTTTTTAACCTCGAGAGTCAGGATCCAACAGTGGAAAAACACTCATTCATGCTCTAAATGGTGCACATGTCTGTGTGCATGTACACACATACACACACCAAATAAAAGTGGTTGTACCTACTTGGCCTTGTTCCCTGTTGCCATAGCTAATCATGTAATTAGCAGGATAGGTTTACTGAGGGTCCAGACACTGAGCACTGTCAGCAACGACAGCAAATACTTTCACTAAGCCAGATGGTCATTTTACAGTTTTAGACTCAGTTTGCCTTCAGGAAATTTCCAACCATGTTCACTTTAAATGGACTACTCAAACTTTGTTTTCAAGGTTGAGGCAGAAGACATAATATTGCACACATTGTTCAAGTGGAATCTGATAGATGAATAAAAAGTAAAATGCCTTTTCATTAAAATGAAGCCTCTGTTTTCAGGCATGTTGACAAGCTGTCGAGTGCTCGAGCCACATGGTTTACTTGCCTTTGTCATGAAGTAGAGCAAAGTTCACACCCTCTTTTTTATTCTACAGTTTGTAAAATAGTCTGTTATGAAGCTTTGTCTTATGAATCTGTCTGACCGCCAACAGCAGACACTTTTTTCATGAATGCTTTCTGTAGGTGTGATTCAGTGAGGCATAATTAAAACTTTGGGAGAGTTCTTGATTAGATGACTCAAGGTTTGTCCAAAAATGTCGACGTACGTCGCAGTTTTCCTCCAGCATCACCTTGTTTTCACCTTGTTGTTCTGCGTCATGTTCTCAACAGGAACCACCTGTAGCTTCCTCAGAGGCACATGTTAATCTCACAGAGCTCTACACAACAGGTGTTAATTTTGGCGTGGGTCGTAGGGGAATATATTACATAAGCTTTATGTCTGAATCATTAATAAGCTTGATGTCATAGCTATTGCATAATCTATATGTTCACAAACACAATGCTTCATGCATACACAATGGAAACCGTATCTGAAATAGAGGTACCTCATGTGCATGTAGAGGCACGCGAAACGGTAAAAAATAAAGATTAAAACTGTAACTCTGCAGGTTTACAGTCATGTTGACAAATTGGCTGCTTTATAAACTGTCTTTAATTTATGTAACTTTAATCAACTCTGACAATACCATATCCCAAGGAAATAAAAGTTGCGAGGATACAATAATAAAAATGTCCATGTACATTTGATTCATTGTCTAATATGGCCAACCCTAGCGTGTGCAATCTATTTCATGTCAGTGTTTGTCGAACACTGACATGAACCCATCTCCAAACAGAGGCAGTGGGCTATCTGGTGATGTAAGACTTCTATAGTGTGTGGTCTATTGTGGGGCAACCGCCAGCCCTCTATCAGATCCAGTCAATCATCTTCAGCCCTCATGTGGTTGGAAAATGGACACTTATCCAGGCAGAAGGCCTCTAATGGAGCATTAAAGCGTACACTATATTCCCCTGCTGGCCACCAAGCAGCCAATTTCTCCAGATGCTACCGCATTACATCACTGCATCAGTCTGTGTCCCGCTGCTGCTGCTGCTGCTGCTGCTGCTGCTGCTGCTGCTGCTGCTGCTGAGACATGGTAAACAACTTACAACAACCGAGAACAGGAGCACTGCTCTGTGAGTACAACTGAGCATTTTACTTGGGGTGATGGTGATCATAAAGACAGAGCTGATGATATTCTAGTGGCTGTACATCTGCATAAAAAAAGCTGTATTTTAAAAGATGAATAAAGCTCCAGAAAATGTAACTTCATAAACTCTATGAGCATTGTATCAAAAACAGGCCTCCAGAGGTTATGAAGAACTGCCCACCCCCATGTGCACATGGCAAACAATGCCCAGTGGGCCTCCTCTCTGTGTACATAATATGATGATGCTACAAGTGGCCTCAGCCACTTAGCTCTTACATAACTCAGTCAGCCTGTGAAGTACAAGTGTACTGCAGCATCAGCAGTTGCAATACTCATTCAAGACTACACATGGAGATGTCATAAGGTAATTTTATCCTGGCGAAAGGCTTTACTCACTGAGTGTACGGCCCTGCGCTCTGTCACAGTGGCAGCTCTCCAGCCACAGCAGCTGTTAGAGCAGAGGGAAAGTGGACACCGTTCTGACTGAGCAGACTACAAACGTCCTGTAAACTCTTGTGCAGCGACGCAGGATCACAAAGTTGTCGTACATCATCAGATGTTTTCGACAGGCGGAGGAGGAAGGCAGCTCTGGTGAACAGGCTACACAGGGTGCTGTGGAAACGAGGGTCCATGAGGAGAGCCAGCAAGGCCGGGGTCAAAGTCTCCGCTGAGAGAGAGAGAGAGAGAGAGAGAGAGAGAGAGAGAGAGAATAAAAAAATCGCATTGTAACACAGAAAATTTTGAATATTTCAAAAATATATACATACATATTACATTCAGACTAAAAAGCTAATGTGGTACCTGGCAGGAGCTCTTTGCACACTGAAAGGCTGTCTGGCACCTGTGCAGCACTCTGCTCTGCCCACACTCTCAGGCTCTGCGCCAAAGCAGAGGATTCAGAGTAATTTTCAGCCATCTGCAGCAGGTAAGGCAGCACATGTGCCGACATTACAGAGGGCTCTGCAAACACATTGGCCTCATCCTGCTCATACAGACTGGAACACCTGAATAACAGAGCAATAGTAACAATCAGGCAACACCCGATCAAGGTTGCTGTCTGGCAAAGTGTATTGATGCAGTGAGGTGACATACCCCATCTCTGAGGACTCTCTCAGCACACACGTGAGGTCAGACTGAGGCAGGTGACACAGCAGCACCTCCAATGTGCCAGGAGTATCGACGCATTCCTCCAGCAGCAGGTCCAGCAGCAGCGGCAGAGCCTGGTTGACTTGCATAAGGTAGACCCTCCCGTGGCTTTCCCCTCTTCTCGCATGGCGCAGCATGGAGGTAAAACGAGCTGCTTTCATCCTCACCTGCTGGCTTTGGTCCTGCAGCAGGTAAAGGCCCGTGTTGATCAACCTAAACCAGGGAGATTCCACATTTTGAATTTCTGTTCATCAGAGTGTATCGCTTGATCAACAACGCTATTTGACTTTTGTCACACCTGGTCATGATGGCAGGCAGAGTGATGTGTTTCCTCAGACTGTGGCTGATGAGTGGAACTGCAGCCACACACAGAGCTTCAGCACTCGCCATCCTGAGCACTTCAGGGGCATCTGGGCAACGGTGGCGTTCCAAGACGCTACACCAGCGCAGCACCACAGATATCTCGAGACTAATTTACACAGAGATGAGAAGAGAGACAGAGTTGCAGGTGGGAGTGTTTCAGTATATAATGAAAAAAAAAAAAAAAAAAAGGACAATAAAATGTGTAACAACCTGCAGTCCGACCACTGGGAAAGCAGCAGACTAGCAGCACACAGAGCCTGGGACAGAAACTCTGGCCCGCCTCGCTGCTCCTCCAGGTCCCTAAGCAACAACTCCAGACACTCAGGCAGAACTGGCTCCTCCAGTTGGGCCGACTGAGGAAGAAGCTGGGGTGAAGCAGAATCCCCTCCAGCCATCACCGCTACCAGGGCTGCGAGATAGGTCCTGCGGTACTCCACACTGTGGCTCAACAATGCCTCCTTCAGGTTTGCCTGAAGACACAGAACATTAGAGTCGGCCTTTAATGTACTTGACAAAGGATCAGTGCTTTTAAATGCCAACCATGTATACCCTGAGTGGATCACACTAGGCATCATATAAGAGACGTAGGAATTTAAATAGACATATCACAAAAAACAGAGGAAAGCTGAATAAAATCTAACATTCTTTTGGGTTTTCTTTTATCACACTCATGTTAAGACTCATCTTTTTTGCAGACCTACATTTTAAACAAATAGCTTATTTAAAATACAGGTTCAGACAGATCCTGTTTCCTGGTTTAAATGATAATCTCATGAACTGCCTCACTTATTATTCACTACATACAGTTTACAGTGTGCAATGCAGGTGTATTATTTCTCATAGTTTCCTCAAAAACACTAACAACCTTACATTTACCAGTTTTACAGTAAAACTAAATTAGATACGTGAAGACGGGGAGCTCTAGTCCAACTAAATGACGTAATAGGGGTAAATAAGTGATGTAAAATAAATGACAAGGCCACATGAACAGGAATCCCATATCTTTACTCACTGTGTGTAGATATGCAGTATCACATCTTATCAAGCTTATTTTAAAGAGTCAGTTAAACACTCAACAGGATATACATAGGAAGGCATAACTGGGTGGTGTAGATAGTGTAACATGCTGCAGAGTTTATCAATATGATCTACATGAACTTTAACACAGCAAATAATAAAATGATAAATATCCTCAGTTCGACTGTTCAGAGGGAGACACACCCTTTTTTATCTTAGACGGAAAAACAGATCTCCAGCCAGATTTCAGCCTTCCGATGGCATTATATTTAAGCCTATCTTTGCTTCCTCAATTTCCTCACATTGTGTTCAAAGAAGATCGTTATACTGAATGAGGTTAAACAGGTTTTTGGGAAGTTTGTTTTCTTCATGCTGAAGTCTAGGGAACATATCGTGTCTCACCTGCAACACCCGCTGGAACACCTCTTTCAAGCTGGTCTGCTGCGAACCCCGCCCATCCACCACCCACGTAACCAGCGACAGCTTCAGGTCAGGGCTCGCTGCAGAGAAGCTGTTCCAGATTTGGCATGACCACTTTTGATCTGCACATAGAAAGCGGATGGCTCGTTGATGAAAGGATGACAAACCAACCTGAGGGGATGACATGGATAAAGCATTAGAAAAAGTACCTGCCGGGGAATGTGTGTGTGTGTGTGTGTGTGTGTGTGGTGAATTGACAAGGTTGTGCGGGCTGAGCATTGTATTGAAGCTGCAGTATTCCTGAACTCCTGTATCAGTAACACATCTGTCATACATAACAGAAGAAGAGTGGGTTCAAATCGTCTGACTCACATTAATAGGAACAGAAAAGAGAAGTCACAGTACAGCTACTGCAGCCAAATCCATAGAACCGTAGATACAACCAGAAATGCTCAGAACCAGTGGCTTTAAACTGTCAGAGCTCGGCCTTTCAAAAGGAACAAATGGATAAATAAATGTGTCATGTACAGCGTCACACCATCTCTCCTTTCTGTAGTATCTGTAGAGTGTATTAAAATGCCAGTGTATTAAAATTAGACTAGAGCAAAACACTAACTGTCACTGTGGATCACAGGGACTACAAAAACATCGCAAGGGGATGCAAAATTTATTCCAAAGATCAATCAGTTGTTAGCAACGATTGAACCATTTTCAGATTATTTTGAGTCTTTAGGGGCTTTAAGATCTTGAGTTTGTTTGTATAATAGAAAATATTCTTGACAAATAAGCAAAAATTAATGTTAAAGGTTAGAAAAAATGACTCTTGGGTTCTCTATATTATGGGTTTAATGCTCTAAAAATCAGCTAATATGCCTCATCAGGTTTGTGTTTGTTGCTAAATCCTATGAATAAGTAACACGTCACATTTTTTCCCTACAGAGCCCCGCTCCATTGAAACCTGTGAAAAGAGCAAAGAAAAAAACAGCACAGGCAGAAATATTTCATGTGAAATAACCTGAACTGTTGCAACAAAAAATGTTGTGATTGTGCATGAACCCATTGCTTACAGTACAGAGCTGATTGAGAGCATATACATAGCATGTAAATGTCCCCTATGCTTATAGGTGTGTTAGCGTGCATGTTACACACCTGAAGCCCTGTTTGGGGTGTTTGGAGGTCACGCATGAGTGTGTCACTGAGCTTTGACAGGTAGGTTTCACAGCAGAATCTTCTTAGTGAATCTGCCACGCCAAGGTAGACGGCCCTCACTAGGGGGCAGCGTTGAGCTTCGGTCACCAGCCACAGGGAGGCGTCCACCCTGCTCAGCACCACAGACAGGGCAGTTGAAGGGTCACTGCGAAACAGAGACACAGCAGGATTTCAAAGCCTGACGGCGTCTGACGAATGAATAAACCAGGCATTTTAAAAGCCTGAAAGTGTGTGATGAATGAATAAACAGCTCTTTTAAGTCTCACCTGTCTGAGCAGAGAGCTCTCTCTAGAATAGCTTTGATCTGCAGCAGCTGCCCGTGGAGCCGGTTGTGACAGCAGCGCTCCTGTGGACCGGGCAGTTGAGCTGTCAGTTTGAGGAGGATGTTCATGTACTCTGAGGGGGGAGTCATGGCAACCAAAGCCTTAGAGGCCATCACTCTCACACTGTAAATGGGACTGGCAGACAGCTGGAGTAAAGGAGGCAGGAAGTCTGACAAAGTCCTGAAGAGAAAGACCAGTGGTCCTCAGTCACATCATTAAGGCAAAGAGTGATGTTAATTTGAATTAAACACCAAAACATTTAGTTTCTCCAAATTATTGAATACACTAACATTTGGATGGGATAAAAACCTACATACATCTGGCCTGGGTGAAAACTTCTATTGTAAAGAATTATAGTAGTTAACCTGACCAAACTGTGTAATGGTAATTAAACAGTAATCACTCTGTAGAGTCTTGGACACCAGGCTGGAGTTGGGCTAACAGCGTGAGGACAGGGTAGAGCGAGGGTTGGAGGTGTAGCTTGGCCTCATCAGGTCGACCCTGGAGGTCTTCTGCTGCCCCTCTCAGCTCGCCGAGGAGGAAGGGCTGGAGCGCAGGGTAGTGGAAGAAGAAGGCAGCGGGGGACATGCCATGCTGGGTAGGGCCACTGTCCTCACTGCTGGGCCGCTGGCCGAGCATTCGCGAGCACAGAGAACCTGGAAATGGGATTTTAAATGACTACAGTATCAGGGGTATTAATTAGAGCTGAACCAAGTCCATTAATCGATTAATTGAAAGATGGAAAATTATTATTTTTCAGCATCTGTTTTGATAATCTATTAATAGCGCCAATCGTTCAAACATGAGAAGAAAATGCAGAAAATTCACTGATTCCTGCTCCTAAATGAGAGCACGTTTCTATGCCAGTAAACTGAATATCTAAAAGAATAATAACTGAAAATTTTGGTTTAAGTCAGTCAGACAAAACATGCAATTTGAATATGTAAATTTGACTTTGAGAAATTGCGATGGGCAGTTTTTATTGACAAGACTAAACAAATAATCAATGATTGGGGAAATTGATAATAAGCCCTAGTCCTAAACAATCCTTCACACTGCAAGTACAGACTAAAAGTAAAGCTCTTAATGTGCCTGTGTCTTACTGTAAAGCTGCAGCGCAGCATTCCTCATGGCCCAGCAGGGAGAACTGAGCAGCGTGAGTGACAAGATGGCTACAGCAGGAGCAAACTGAAGGACAGCTACTCCTAGACCTGAGCCACGCACCAGGGCCTGCAGGGTGTGAACCGCACACACCTGTGAGGGAAAGGACAATAATGTATGTGACCACGTCTGGTTATGAAGACCAATATCCTCAAACTTCTCCGTGTGTCTGCAAACCTGTGGCAGGTCCAGTGTTTGGTCCCAGTTCTCGGGCAGAGGCGTTCTGGCCGTCTCCAACAAGGTTTGCATACTGTGGGCTAACAGGGGTCTTGCTTTACTGGCCTCTTCTGCTGATACAACACACAGGATGAGCATAGGCAACCCAGCAGCCCGCCGGGTCACGGATGTAGAACGAGGGCACTGCACGACCTGCAATCCCTAATAAAGAGCAAGGAGAGAAAAGCCAGCAGTTCGGCATTTCCATTTATTGATTAAAAAACTGCAACACAAGAATGTATCTCCACTCACTTGTTTCAGCATTTGGGCCGGGATGTCCCTAAACTCTGGATCACTGCTGCTCAACAGAGAGGCACAGAACTTGGTGAAGCCTATACAGCATCCCTCTACTGCCCCCTGGTGAGGAGAAATATTTTTTTCAAAAGGGAAGGTGATACTTGAGGAGACTCATACTAAACTTCAGAGTAAATGGTTTCATAAAACTTACCCAGTGACGGCATTTGAGAAGAATATTCTTGAATACTTTTGATGCTCTCATTAGATCCTCTTTTCCTAGAATGTGCTTGCTGGGTTTGAATTCGGTGAGAATTTTCTCCACCAGAGATCCTAAAAAGATTCCTATTTCCTAAAAAGAAATAGGAATAACAAATTTAAAAAAACATTAAACTAAATAATATTGATCCAAAATGCAAAAGCAGCAAATATGCTAAGCTAAGATGTCAGGCTGTTTCTATCTTCCTAAATGCTGAGATCTCTGATCATGCATCTAAATGGTGCATCTGGTTCTGTTTTACCTTGAGGGAGACCCAGCAGCAGGTGAGAACGAGGCTGTGCTCTTCAGACAGCAGGACACACTCCTCTCCATCCCCTTGGCTTCCTCCAGTTGTTTGAGCTATCAGGGAGCTGATAGCGTTTCCCATGTCACAGAAAGAAGGCGGGGCGTCTAAGACAGAAGAGTGTGATTTATTGTGTGGTGTCATAAATAAATCTGAAGAGCGGTGCACTTCATCCCCACATCAGCATTGTTTCTGCAGGTTGCTCCGTTACCCTTTTCAGTGGCACAAGCATCCTGGTCTCCATACAGAACACCCAGCAGAAGCAGAGAGACGTTCTCCAGCAGGACCAGCACCTCAATGGTTAGACTGTGGTCAAGTACATCATAGATACTGCCGGCTGCCTCAAGCAAACACCTCTGAAGGGCACTTACAACACCTGGGATATGATTCATGACAGGATGTAAAGCACCGAAAAATGTTTTCTAGGGCTCAAAATCATGTATATGAATGTCAGTGTTGTAGTGTTATAGTCTTACCATGTATGGGCTTGGTTCTGGCAGCAAGCATCATTTCAGCTTTAGCTGTCAGATAGTGCTCCTTCAGCTCCTTCACCAGGAGTCTGACCATGCAGGAGGCCGTGGGGTTACTTTCACCGCGGACAGTAATGTCACTGTTCAGCCTGCAGTCTTCAGGCCGGTCTTGTGATCTAGAGATAGAACAAGTGATAACTGCTCACCCTCCTGCTTCTAAGGCAGGCAAAATACTGAACGAGGGTATGTAGGAGGCAAGGCTTACTTCTGAAGGAGGACCTTCGTCATCAGTGCTCCCATCTGAGCCTCCTGCACCCGAGGACTGCACAGAAGCTGTTTGGTTCGCCTGAGCAGCACTGCAGAGATATCATCTGGAAAACTGGGTGGGAAAAATCTCAACAATAACCCAGCTGAGAGCTCCCGGATCTGTAAATTTAAAAAAAAACAACAACTTTTCTCTAAAATATTCTATTTTAAACCTCAATCTTCAATTTGAACTATATGAAATAAATATGAGACAAGTCAAGGCAGCTCTACCTCATTAGTAGAATCTTCTAAACAGCTGATAAGGACCAGCTGTTTGGTCCTACAGAAGAAATCCCACTGTCCTCTTTGTCTGGCACAGTTAATTAGAGACCCAATATTTGCTGCAAAGAAGAATTCATGATGCTCATGAAAAGTCCTAGCCAAAATGATATAAAACAGTATGGGCATTGTATGCTAGCATTTTCCAACTACTGGTTTTCCAAACTGACCTGGAGGTTGTCCCTTCTTTTTGTCTGGGCTCCAGGTGTCTGTGCACGTCTCCAGCACTGCAGACAGCAACAGCAATGCAGTCTTCTTCCTCTGATAACTGTGTCCTGGTGCTAGATAGCTGTATGGAAGTTGACCCAACCATTCGACAAACCCTACATGATAATACAAAAAAGGTTATGAGGAACGAAAGAATGGAAAGATTTATGAAAAAACTGAACTTTAAATTACAAAAAATGTCAGGCATTCCCTGTGGGTATATATTTTTAATCTAATTATTAGTATTTCATTCAGCATTCAACAGTGTGTGACCAAGAGATGTACCAGAAACCATGAATGCATACCTTCATCTAAAACACTCCATATAGATGTATAAAGTTTAAAAGAAAGCACTAATACAGTGTGATAAATGTATATCTGTCCGATAGGACAGTCTTTTGTTGTGGACATAAAACAGCATCTGTCAATTATCTCACCTATTCCCTGCTCCAGTATATCCTGTGCCCTCCCTGAGTGGGTGGTATCTCCTTTCTTTTTGCCCTTCTGACCTCTGACATGTGCCAAGCAGCCGTCTCTGATACGAACCAGAAACCTCTTCACTCCGGCCTGGAAATGCTGGCGAAATGGCGAGGACTCACAGTTTAGGTTCTGAGGAATAAACGTCCTCGTTATTGACATCTCCTGTGTGGTTGGAGTGTCTTTGGTCTTTGGGCTGCAGCAGAGGAGGTTGAGAGCAGCAAGACGGACTTTGTCATCTGCAGATCCTAGAGCTAGCTGGAGGGTTTCAAGGGTTGAGCTGCCCTGCAGAGCCCAGGGTGAACTTCCAGTCGCGGCTCGATAGGAGCTCATGATGCAGGCCCATGCGTGGAGGTGACCAGGAGCGTATGGGTCCAGAGAGGCCAGCAGGTGATCCACAGCGGAGGGGAAGACTTGAAAGGTGCAGGGCAATAAGTGTGTCGAGCTGTTGTTCTGTAGAAGAGTCACATCAGACGTCAGCGCCTTGTGAAGGACGGGCTGCCAACGCCTCGCCCACTGATCGGCCAGATCCAGCTCAGTGTGCGAGTCCGACCTTTGCGAGCAATTGCATAGCTCTCGTCTCTGCTGCTGGATCAGACACTTGTACAGCTCCGATCCACATGGCGACAGGTGATTGGTTGACAAGCACTTGAGGAGATGACTGGGTATTTCAGCATATTGATCCAGCACCTGATTGATTAAAGAAACATGCATCAAAGTCATCATGACCACTACAGACTACACTATAATATTATCAACCCTGTAATAACGCTTCATCCTCACCATGTCAGTGCCCAGATAGGGTAGCAGGGCACAAAGGCGATGATATTTGGCTTTGGCTTCCCAAGGTAGTTTGATTATTCGCTGGAGTAGAGTAAAATAAAGAGTCTTCTTTGTGTCACAGAACTGCTCACAGTCCATCTCATACAGGTCCAACAGCAGACAAAAGGCACTGCGCACAAATTCTGACACACCATCCACCTGCCAATGCACAGTGAGAGAGAGGTCACTGGAGGTAATATGTATTTAAATTATTTAAGAAGCTAATAAGACTTTTCTGGATATTTGGAAGAGGCTTTCAGAGTATGTCCTGCGATGTGTAGGTGGTACTGAACATGTTTCTTTATGATAGAAAAGAATAAAACTATACACAACTCATGAGCTTTAGGCAAATTTTAACTATTTTATGCCGTTTACTCCAGACAAAACTGCATTGCCATTATTTAGTAATGGTATGTGATCAGATTGGAATAAAATCAAGCACAATTCTCAAATTCTCAGCACATTGTAAACAATATCCTTCATTATTTGGCAGTTCATTGAGTTTACAAAGTCTAATAATTCCCTTGTCCCTTGTGTTTTCTGCTTTTTGAATTGCAATAACATAATGATGGTAATTTGACTCACTGGGCTTTCTGCATTTGTCCAGATAATGTGAATGAGCTGTTTCTGCATGCTGCTGTTGTCAGGCAGAAGGCGGACATCTGTCATCTTCCGGATATCAGCCAGACATTCTTTAACTTTCTTCAGCCACAGTGTTAACACTGCAACAACATGTCATATTTCAACAGATGATAACATCATTTACACACATGAATAAACCTGACCTGGATGATACTCACCTTCAAAGGCAAAGTAGTGACAATCTAGCTTCTCCTCACACAAAGCAAAGACAAGAGGAAACAACCCTTTCAGCAGTAAACACATCTGAAAAGAAGGAAAATGATGGATTTGATAATGAAAGCAGAACAAGCAGAACAAAAGTAAAAGTCTTTTTTGATGTGGGCTTTAAGTAGATTTACTTCCGCAGCATCCACGTGCGAACTGAGCAAGATGTGAGGTCGACAGCAGGTGAGGAGGCCCCTGCTCACAGCCAGCCTCGCCACTCCATCCTTCGCTGTAGGCGTACACTGAACCTGGAGAGCACCAACAGTCAGCAGCAAGGGCTCTGAGGAATAACAGGAATAACAGCTATTCCATCAGGAAACTCTAAGAATTGACACTCAGATGTAGAATTTGTAGTATATGTAGCATTAGAACTGAGAAAGACAATACACAAAGGGATACAAAGACAAAAAAAAATACAAAGAAAAATACAAAGAAGATCTTTTTACATTTTACCACATGGGACATACCTGGGTCTCAATTCCAAAATTTGATGTGCTCAGGCTAGTTGTCCAGCACTGTTGGTGGTTACCTACCTAAGGCAGAAACCTGCAGCAGACTCCAGGCAGCAGCTCCTCCAGCTCTGCTCTCTGATGCTGTGTTGATCAGCATGGCCACAGCAGTGCCTGCCAAAAGACGAGTGTCCCTGTTGCAGCACTGCAAGACACGACACTGGCTGATAAGATGAAAGGTAATAACAGAACAGGTTTCTGTCTTTTGAATAAGTCACTCTGAACTAGTGAGTTAATAAGAAACCTGTCCAAGTATTATGTCCATAAGAGCCTGCAGGATCTTCTGCACGGTTGGGCTCCTGTGCTCCTCGTCCCACACCAGAGGAGCCACTTCACTGGACAACAGCTGAAATGTTTGCAAGCACACCTGCAGAGATCACAGTTTTCAGATCAGTAACAGAGATCACACAGTCAGTCTGAGATGAATGTGAAGGATGAAGCACACTGCTCTTCGTGTACCTTGACGGCAGTGTAACACAGTGGTCCATCCCTCAGGGATTCTTGTTGCAATACAACAGGGAACAACTCGGACACTTTATTCAGCAAGGACAGGTATGACTCTCGCCACACCTCACGACCGACAGTGCTGTCTTCCAGGAACATACAGGCTGAAAAACAAAGTGATAAAAACTTAGATATGAAATTAATGACATATACTGTAATAACACATCATTGTTAGCCAGCACAAACCTCTTTGCAGATCCTCAAAAGACAATATCTGAAACAAAGGTAGGACAACGTGAAAATTATCTGCAGTTCCTTTATGCAAACACACGCTAAACACAAGTGAAGTGAGAGTTCCATACCTGGTCAGTGTGGACTATGGATTGAAAACAGTGATGGGTTTCTCTAAAAACCAACTGGTGGTTCACCTTTGCCAAATGTTGCAGCATCTGAGAAGTAAATAATGAGGTTTGAGGGAGATTGCATTTTGTCTTCAGTGTTGCACAGTGAAAAAACACACAGTATCTGCTGACCTGGTCCACTTTACGACAGGCTGTGGAGATGTTGACCGTCTGCAGCTGCATGGAGATGAGGAGTCTGACAAGAAGCAGGAGATGGCTCTCTTCTAAACCACCGAGCTGTGCCTCAGAAATCTGTCTCAGCAGCTGGGCAGCCTCCTCTAAACAACGCTCCTTACATCTTTTCACGTTATTCCTGTTCATGCAAGCACCATCACTCAGTCATTACAACGCCTTGTTAAAAAAAAAAAAACATGTGACAAACACTGACGGATAGAGTGTTTACAGGACAGAAAGAGTTTCACTAAGTTCTGAAACGTGTTGAATTTTGACACCAACCTGGAGGATTCAGACAGTTTATCCATAAAGAGCCTGAGTGTTTGGCTGACATTCTCAGGTGCTTGCTCCTGGGTGATCACACAGTCCCGCAGACTTGTCACCAGGTCTTCAAACGACAACATTGTTGGACAAACCCCACTATAGTGACTCCTGATGTTGTTAGACACATTGGCAGCACGCTAGCACGAGTACAGTTGGTCACGTGACATAACTCTAATTCAGTGGTCATTGTGAAATTACGGCGATATGCTGCCACCTAGAGGTCGGAGTCTGCAGGCTTTCAGTTTATTTAATTCAAATGTATCAAGGACACCCGACTTCTCAAAGAAAGAGCTCACATTAGAAAAGACGACACGGTCAAGACGTAAATATGATGTAGAATGTACTTTAATTAATTAAACTAACAACTTCATACTAAAGTATAGAATACCCTCCAACACCTTTGTTTAGTCTTTCATTTAGAAGAAGACGGATTAAACTCCTTAAATAAAGGAGCTTATGTATGTGTTGTTAGTAACTCTTACTAGTTGGCAGTGGCACCTGGACAGTGTGGGGTGGAGCCAGAAGCTATAATGTGCTACAGAAATGGCACTCCAGACTTTTGTATCTCTGTATGACTACTGTAAATAAAGAGTTGAGGAATAAAAAGAAGAAGGAAAAAAGAGCAAAAATAGAAAACAATACTGAAAAAAATCTGGCTTGAAAAAGCTTTGATGGATGTACTGTAATAGCTGACCTCGGCAGTACACATTTTCCTCCAGGTTAGATGAGGTCGCTGTTGTTCATTTAAGTATAATTGTGTTTCTGGTCTTTCCCCAGAACAAGAACTTTTCCAGGCTGTGATTCGTTTAAAATATTCGTTGCCATGACATCACTAACAGTTTACAAATATGTCGACTTTATAACGTGAAGGAAACCAAATGGCTAACGTGGTTGATATGTTCTGCCCCTCGTCCATTTCACGCCAGGTCATATGTGTTTTACTGCTCTTTTCCTTGGCTCACACTCAAAACGTTGTCGGTAAGTCCCTGATAATATAAACATACGAACAAAGGAGTTCATTCGGTTTCACATTAACATAGCTAACGTTACCTTAGCTAGAGCAAACTTGTGACTTCGGTCAATTGCTAACCTCACACGTTACATCGATTATGTTCATTGTCAATTAATTTAATGTAGCTAACAGCATACAATTATGTAACCGCTATGTTCAACAGTTTTCCAGCCATCCTTTCTCACTGCAAATGGACCAGTGGTGTCTGCACTTCTACTCGGAAACACGTCGGATATCTCTCTGAGACTGAGGACGGTATCTCCATCCAACACAACAGGTGAAGGCTAAAATAGATTCCCCAGTGCTCTGCCTGAGCATCTCCTTGTAGTTTTGCAGCAGATTACCATAGCAGAACATGAACGGGGATGGGTTCTTGATGAAGTTTTGATGTTTTTAATTCAAATGAGGGGTGTTTGGAAATATCTGGTTGCCAAAATATACCAGAGAGAAGGAAGGTAGCCATGTAGTTACATTGTGATTATGCAGTCTGTTGTCATGTTGGACAGATTTGGTGGTTGGTGATGGTTTGTTTTGTTTTTGTTTTTTTGTTTTTTTACAGGAAGCATTGGTCCTCCATCATGTGTGGCCGAGGAAACACAGTGGCTGCTCACAAGGGAGCAGGTGGGAAAGGTAAGAACCCAATCTTACAGTGAACACTAATTTTCATCATATTTCCAGATAATGTTAGACAGGCAGTTAGACAGAGTTTATAGTAATGAAAACCACAAATAATTTAATACTGATATTATGTCAGCATCCATTTTTCATTATGCCTCATCTTTGTTGCATTTGTTGCCCCAGACTGCAGTTCGTGTTCTGCTGAGACTGGATAGAAGTCTGCGCTTGTGTGATGAGAATGAGACAGACATAGACTGCTGTCCTAAGCCACTTTGTGTCCTGGAGACCCTTCAGGTGTCTGCCTGTGTGGGCGGCACACCTCAGGCATCGCTGCTGATCCAGGCCAAGATACACGCCCTGCTGGTTCCTGCTAATGCTGGATCTGGTAATTCAAACAAAACTTGTGTCATATCATAATGGGCCTTCATGCACTTAGAGAGTACCACATTTCTAATTAACATAAACTTCTTATCCATTTCAGATAATAAAACAGTTATTCCAAACCAAGTGTACCAACCACTAGGCCCTTGTCCCTGTGATCTCACATTCAGAGTATGTGATGTACGCTGTTGCTGTGACAAGGTATTTATTATTGCATTATTTTAACAAGTGAACAGTGCATTTTGGCAAATGTTCTTCCTTCTATATTAATCATCAATAATTTGTTCATCTTTCATTCTGTCAGGACTGCTCCATTGAAGATTTGAAGCTGTTTGAATCCCACTGTCTCCCAGGGCCCTTTGGTGGACAGGTCTCTCCTGCTCCAGATTATCAGTGCTCTGTGCAGTCCTCTGAAAACTCCCCAGACTGGTTTCCATTTTTATGTGTCAGTTCTTCACCTGAAAACAACCCCTACCTTGGACTCTTTTACCATGGGGACACAATGTGAGAAATGATTGAGTATTTGCTTTTTGTGTTTTTTCGTTCCGATTGTGTGATTCATTTATCAATACTTGTGTCATGTTATCATTTATATTTTGCTCTTTAACTTGTCAAGCACGCCTAAGCCTGGTCCAAACTTCCAAAGTCCTATGTTGTCAGCTCCAGTGCCAGAAAATCTTTATATTGAAGGAAGTCCCATTTTAACATTAAATAACCAGTACTTCACTATTCCCCAGGTTAGTTGTGTGTATGTACTCTACAGTTTTTTTGATATTATATTTTTTCCTGTATGTGTTGCCAAAGCTGTACCAACTAATGCATACTAATGTATGTTTCTGTTCCACAGAAGGTGCTCGGGCATTGTGTAAACAGTGCTCCTGTAGCATTTTTGAAAAATTTCAAAGTCAAATGTGTGACTCTGCTACGCACCTGTCCAACTGGATCTCCCTTACAGACACTACCAATGGATTTGAGGAATAAAGTGAAGACTGGGCAAGGGGGTATGTTTTACCTGCTAAACATACAGGAGCAATGCTTTGATACTTTCTGGTGTATGTGTTTTTAATTTTTGGTTTATATTTTTCCTGTGTATTCGAGGTGATGTTATAGTGGATGTGAGTGATGAAGTGGCCACTGACTTGAGTCAGTTTATTTCAAGCACAGATGCTGTTGCCTCTTCAGGTATGGAGGTTACAACATATCATTACTAAAAATAAGAACAACTTAAACTGACAATGAACCTTAATGTTGAAATGTGTTGATATTTCTCTGAAGATGAGAGGCTCGTATGTGAGAATGTGACCTTAGCAATGGATTATAAATTCTACTGGAAGGGAAATGGCATCACAAGGATCACACTGACACGCACTGTTGGGACCATCACTTTGAATGGTGGTGGTAAGTGCCCATAACACTTTCCCATGATTTGGCTTAGCACCAGTCAGTGAGTGATACAAATTGAGAGGTATGTTTCATGTGGTTTGATATTGATATTGATATTGATATTTGTTTTCTGTTTCCTAAACAGTGATGTTAACTACAAGGTATTCTGCTGTATATCTAAATGGAGAAATCACAGATGAGCCCAACTCAGGGAACCCAGGTGGGAGCAAGATAAAAATACTTTGTTCTGATATTGGTTGTGGGAGTGAACTGTTTTGTTAAAAATAGTTCACAGTGCATGCTGCAGTAGCTAACACATGGACATTATGAATGACAGGTTACCAAGTGGGAAGGCCTGTCATTGCTGGGATCGTAGACACTTTGGACAATAATACAGGCTCAATACAGAGGATGACAATCAATCTTTGGAAACCAGGTAAAACCTACTAAGTCATGTTGTTGATTACTCAAGTAGTTGCGTTTATTTCAATAAAGAGATTGAATACATAACACCATTTTCTGATCTGGTTAACAGTGAGTGATGGACTATGTTCCACTAATGAGAGGAAACCAATTCTGTTTGGGGAGAATGCAACATCAGGATGTCTGCTACCTATCAGCCGACAGAATCTGACTCAGTGTAATCTCCTGAGGTTAGTAGCTCAGCATGAGTTCATGTTTGAACTACAGTATGTCTATGTGTATTTGTGTTGAAATAAAATAGAATGTTTTTTCTCCTTTAGAGAAACTGTTACTTCTCTCCAGGCAGCTTTAACTACAGCCACATACGTGTCAAAGAGTGGAAACCCAGATCCTCTAACTGTGACAGACTGGGTGAACATAAACTGTAAGTACATGGTGCAAAGAAACAATTCATACAAAGTTTTCTTTTTGTACAGACCATGATCGGTTGTGCAATGACATCATGTAAATGTTAATGATATTAACTTACACTTTTATTTTAACTTGTAAAACAAATTTAACAGTGTTCTGCCAAATTATTTTTTCTTTTGGTTCCAACTGAATGTTACACACAACGTATAAATTCCAGATGTGACACTGAACTCAAGCACAACTATGGAAGACACCACAAGTTCATGCTATGGGATTTCATCCCACCAACATATCCATGTATGGAGTCTTATCACCAGCATGGTAGAGGGCATACCTCAAAGGGAAATCCGTGCTCTGCAAATCAGGTGTGTATCAGGTTGCTTATTGCAATGCACAGTGTAAATTGTATTCTCAGTGATTATAAGTCACCATATGTCCTCAATTCCCTTAAATCTACAAAGCATTATAAATCTCTGTGAATCAAGAATGCATATTTTGCTCATTTTTAGCTACAGCCTCTCCACCTGGGCTATGGATTGTGGAGGAGGTGATGTCTCTCCATGCGTGGACCCAATGGAAACTCAGTTGTTCCCCATCACCTCCTCAGTCACCTTTACTGACATTCCTATCAACACAGGACCACCAAAAACCAGGTGCTTCCTCAAACAACAAGACTGACCTTATAAAGAGAGCTGTTAACTTGAGCCAAATAACTTACTTAATGTGTAAGCTGCCTGACTAATTCTAACCTAGAGTGTGATGCTCTATTTGACTTTTTCTCTCCAGGTTTCAGATTAACTTCACAGAGTATGACTGTAGCAGGAATGATGTGTGTTGGCCTGAGCTAGCCTTTCCCATCACCAAGTATTATACAGGTGGGAAATTATCTAATCCTTGGAAATCTGTCCAGTATTTTATTGCTTCCTTTAGGAGATCATTTAATAAATTGGAAAATGTCTTTGTGCGATAAAAATATAATTACTGTGGAAAACAACAGTGTAATTGAAAAGTGAGTGCAGGTGATCTCAGAGAGGAACCATGAATTAAAAAAAAGCTACTCCCATGTCCCACAGCTCAGCTGTGACAGCTGTGACACATTTGTGCGAGAAACACTGCATAAATATGATAATGGACACTGACATTAATGACTTACTTTACCTTTATCCTCCCCAGGTGAGCCATATTCCCAGTCACTGGCCAAGGGCCTTATCTTGGTTTTCTTCTTTATCACTGCATCGATTCTTGGGACTCCATGGAGACAAATCCGACAGGCGTGGAACAGTGCCAATCTATAAAGCGCTGAGAAAAATGTAGATGAAGACATGCATTTGGAGGGATGCTGGGAGAGTGGTAGACTAAATAAGATTATGTATTTTAATGTCACTGAAATGTATTTTGATAATATAGTTTTTACATTTTTTTGGGAATGTAAATAGTTGTCTTGGTGATCTATTTTGTAATAAAAATATTTTTTTCTATCATTTATTTTAGGCTCATTCCCTCCACATACTTTTGATCACAACATTCTCAATAATAGGTTTGAGAAGTGGTCAGGCCTTTTGTGCAATCTTCTAGCCTTTTTTGATTTACCACCATCAGTTTGTTTCTTATTGAGTTCTTCAGGGCTCAATTCTGGGTCATTGTTTATTCAGGTTTTAGATGTTCCATGAGGCTTTATCATCCACAAGCACAATATTGTTTCAGTATTGTACAGACACCATCAAACATAAATCTGCTGCTGCTACTTATGATCATAGATCCCTTTACTGCCTCTGTCCTCTGTATGGATGACCCAATATTTCATCCAACTGAATCAGGTCAAAATAGAGGTTCTAGCTATTGTTCCAAAAGACAGGGGAAGTAAAAACTAAACAATTCGTCTCCTTGTTTCCCCTCATTTACATCTTTTTTCTGTTACCGTAGTATCTCCTTGATGGAGATACTAATAGCCATGGCATGTGTAAAGGTTTGGGCAGCCTACTAAATTAATACTTAGTAACCCCACCCACCTACCCCCACCCCCTTTGGCAGATATCAAGGCTTGAAAACCCATTTTTTTCAGACAGCTAAGAGACTTTCTGAGAAGAATTTTCACCCACTCTTCCTGCAGATCACTTCAGGTTCTGAGATATTTTTAGGTTGTCTCCCACGAACACCATGTTTAAGATCTACCCATGCACAGATTTTCAGTGATGTTCAAGCCAGGGCTCTGTGAGGGCCGTTCCTAAAGCATCATCTTGTTATTCTTGAAGTAGCTCATTGTGGATTTTGGGGTATGATTTGGATCATTGTCCTGTTGTAGAAGCCAGCCTCTTTTCAGTTTGGTTTCTTAACTGACTGCAGGACATATATATCCAGAATTTGCTGCTACTCAGTGGAATCCATTCTTCTCCCTATCTGTGTTTGCCTGCCACACAACCCCAAAGCATGCTTCCATTCTCATGTTACTGAGTACTGAGTCAGCAGGGTTACAAACTTTTGCACATGCCACTTTTATTGTTTTTTTCTGTTTCTTTAAATTAATGAAATAAAAAAGTAGCAGTGCATTAACATTTTTAACACTTGAAGGAAAGCTAAATTTTAATGCCCATTTGCTACAGGAGTTGTTTTTTTCCATTTCAAAAAACAGCCAAATAAGTACTTCGGCCGAGTGGGCCAAACTTTTGCATACAACCGTATGTGTTCACGTGTTTTTATACACAGTCTATCTATGGTATGTTCATTCGCCTTCAGTCTGTGTTGAGGGCTGAAAAGCAGTGTGTACTGCGCAGACTCCAGCGGGGGGCGATCATTGGTCAAAGGCTTATTTGCTGCTGTGGAAGTTGATCGTATTCACTAGTGTGAAGTGGAGTGACGTGGAGTACGATGGACATGACAAGCAGACGTCCTCTAAAACTTCACAAACTATGAGAAGAGTCGTGACCATATCCTTGAATATGTTACGTGAGCGGCTTTAATACCCGTGGACTCACATTTTCACATTCAACTTCGACGAAGCAAGTTTTTCACCTAAGAAACAGTTCGGCGCTCATCGGCTAGCTCATTAGCTATCAGGAACAGCCTCTGCTCTAACGATGGCTATCTAAAGTCAGCGTTGTGCAAGTCAAACAGCGTATTATCACCGGAACCTAAACATGAAAAGGACTAAGAAAGACTTTTCTGGCCGCCATTGACATTTACTTTACAGAAACCGCAGTCGTTAGCTTGCTAATATTAGCCCATCGGCTGAGCAGGGAAATATCAGAGCGCACTGTCAAAATGCGTTCACTGCTCCGAGGTGAAGAGATGTGTCTGGCCCAGCTGTTTCTACAGTCTGGGTCGGCATACGACTGCATCAATGAACTCGGAGAGCTGGGGCTTGTGGAGTTTAGAGATGTAAGTCCTGAAGTAGACAGGGTTCAAACTCTGTAATGTCTCTTTGAAAGTTACTGCTGAGTTGGCTAAAACTGAGAGCAGTCGACAAAGTGCGTCTAACTTGATCTGTTTGCTTAGTATTGATAAAATTTTGTTACTGACTTTTGATTTATGCCGACGCAAATGTGGTAGCATAGAGCATAGCTGTTTTAAAATGTTGCTGAGTAGCTACCTCTGTGTGGTTTATGACAGCCTGTCCTGAGGATCTTTGCTCGTTTTTCACTCTCAGTGATGAGTGAGGATGAAGATTGTCAATCATTCAATACTTGACTGCCTCTTGCACTTGTTTCAGCTCAATCCCAGTGTTAACGCATTCCAGCGAAAACATGTCAACGAGATCAAAAAATGTGAAGAGATGGAGAGGATCCTTGGTAAGCATACATACATACATTTACCAGTAAGGCTTTTATCTAGTTATGGAGTTGTACTTGTAGTCAAGCCTTGGGCAGGAAAAAAATTATTTTGTCTCAGACAGGACCAAAACAAAGCTGTGATGAGACTGTTGAAGCAAAGCAGGAACACATGAAGCCACAGAAGGCCTTCTCATTGAATTGAATTGAGAGCCGGTGACCCTACAGTCATGAGAGATGTCAGCTGGTTGTAAATTTAGTTGAATGAAATGCCTCTTTGGTTAACTAAACCCTTTATTATTAGATTAAGGGAAGAAAATAACACACTGTTAGATTTTGCTTCGAATCCTTTACTGTTCAAATGCTGGTCATGGTATTTGGAAACTTTGACAATTTCTTTGTCTTAGAAAAGGTTACTCTTTATTTTTAACAGGATACCTTCTGAGAGAAATCAAGAAAGCAGACATTTCACTGCCAGAAGGAGATGTGAACCCAGTGGCTCCTCTACCGAAGCACGTCATGGCTATAATGGTTTGTCACTTGCTTATGTATTATCATTTAGCATTTTTGAATTTAATACGTTGATGGCAGTATTCCTGGGCAGTAGTTAAACCTGTGTTGAGTTACTTTCACTGTAAATAAAGGTATATAGTGGAGTAGTTCATTAATTCTGTTATAGTCTGTGTAAAAAATTGATAGATTACATCTACTATGTTTTTAATAACAATTATTATATTGCTGTCATGTTTATGATGCCTGGGTATCCGTGTGCATCCACAGGAGCAGCTACAGAGGCTAGAGGTGGAGTTAGGTGAAGTCACAAGGAATAAAGAGAAGCTGCAGAAGAATCTGCTGGAGCTGACAGAGTACACACACATGCTGCGAATCACCCGCAACTTTGTACAGAGAACTTCTGAGGTTAGTGTGTCATGCCATAATGTGGCCAGATTCTTTACATCCACATTTTCATCTTATTCATTTTTATTTTTTATTTTTTTGCAAAAGGGTTTTTGTGTTTACCCTTCTGCATCTTGTCTTTACTTTTAGCGAGAGCCCCTACAAGTACAGTATGAGGAGTTTCCCTTCCTAGAGAAAGACACAATGATGGACTACAGCAGCATGCAGAGGCTAGGAGCCAAACTGGGGTGAGGGATGAAATTCTGGCTGCTAGCCTTATCAGCATGATGTTTATGTTAGTGTTTGGACTTGGTGTTTCATTTGTTTTAGAGTTGACAATAGGCACTAGCTCTGTTACGGTTTACCAGTTTGTCATGACATTTTAAAAATGAAATCGTAATATCACATGATATTCCAGCCACAATATCTTGTGGAAGAAGTAAATGTGTTGCGCAGTTGCTGATACACATTTAAAGAAAGTTTCACATGAGGCAAGTTGCACTCATATTCTCCTCATAAATAGTTTTTTGTGTCTTGTCTGGCAACAGGCAAAAGCTTCACAAGTTGCAGTAACTGAAATGCTGCTGTGGCTCTTTGCCAACATGTTGCACATACAAAACAAGTGTTGTGGGAATACTCTGTGCTCCATACAAAGAACATAGATTTAATTGAAAGTGACTTGTTGTTGATTGTGAATGTGCAGCAAGAGTAAGTTCTCAAAGGAAAGACAGCTGACCTCACAGCTGCATATCTCTGCCATCATTATACTGCTCCAATATAGAAAGTATCACAGCTACAGCAAGCAGCGTGCATTATGTTAAGTTGAGCAAACAATTTGACATCAGTGATGTAAGATTGTTTAGGTAACAGCAAAGCTATGGTCTCTGTGGCATTAACCAGATTGCTCACATGCAGACGTTTCAGTGAAGATTTTCACACATGCAAAAACACATTCAAGATGAATACTGAATTATAAGGGTTGTTGTGATTTTGTCATATCATTATGGTGACATTTTTAAGTTAAAAGTTAAACTAAAGTTTGTGTTCTTTTGCAGATATATGTACTGTATGTATATGTTAGACTGTTGGTGAATGTGCTCCTCGTTCTCTTGCAGTTTCATTTCTGGGCTCATTCAGAGGGTGAGGATCGAGGCCTTTGAGCGGATGCTCTGGAGAGTCTGTAAAGGCTACACTATCCTCAGCTATGCTGAGGTCGAGGAGTACCTGGAAGATCCTGACACAGTAGGTTTCTCAGCGCTAACTTTATCCATGATTTGTGCTGAGGTTTAACAACTTTTGTTACAGCGTGAGATTAAAATTTCAACAGGGAGGGCAGAAGAAGTATTTTCATGAATTACTGTCTCACTTCCTGAGTTGCCTAGATGCACACTACTTGGTTTGATACAAGATAAAAAAAAACTAGATTAATTTAAATCTGATTTATTGTAAATCAGCTTTGATAACACACTTTGGTTCTCATCAAAGGACAGATTTGTCCTCAGATGAGTTCTCGGTATTCTGTGTCTACACATGATAAGGATTTTTGTGGGACTAATCTATATTCTCTACTTAAATAGTATTTGTAGCTATTCAACAAACAATGGAAACAATTTATAACCTGATACAAGTTAATCACACAGTTTGTATTGTCAAGATTTTGATTATTTTGCTATAACAGCAGTTTAGCATAATAGAAAAAACCCACATTGGACAGATATTGCATGGTACATGGTGTTAAGTATCTCAAAACTATCATTGTCACTTCTGTTTGTTTGTGTAGTGTTGCCATAGTAGAGTTTATTAACAGTGCAGAGGACAGGAGGATTGTAGAGCTTTGGAAATGACAAAAAGGAAAGGCCAATCCTGACACACTTACTTAATGTATATTTATTAAATGACACTGGTGAAGCTGTTGTGACGTCCGTTCTCGTCCTCCTTGCTGTTCTCATTAACAATGAGTACTGTGATCTTGTCCACTCACACTGAGTGACAGCACTAATCCAGTTATCCATTTCCTCTGCTTGGCCAGAAGGCAGGCATGCAGGGCTGCAACTGATCACTAGTGGAATGTCAGGACACACTTTCACTGGAAAATTCACAAGCAGTGTTAACGTGTGAGAAGAAGAGTTTTGACATTAAGTTAAAAACTCCACTAGTCATGCTTTTTCAAAAACGGTGAAGAGAAATCAGCTGCTCAGCTGCTGTTTCCAAGGTCAAGAATGAACTTTCAATCTCAAGTACTTTTCCAGTTTTGTTTTGGCAAGCAATGAACAACTTTAATTTTTCAAGTGTAAACACATCTTTTCAGTTTCCGAAAATGTAACTATCATCTGAAAATGTACTCTGGGCCTAAATTGACACGACTTTTTTTGCTATCAATGGAGCACGTAGGTCTAATCAATGATAGACAACACATCCTCTTATTTTCCTTTTGCAGGGGGAGCCAACCAAAAGTGTGGTGTTCCTGATCTCTTACTGGGGAGACCAAATTGGCCAGAAAGTGAAGAAGATTTGTGACTGGTAATTATTCTTAATACTTTATCCTGCTCAATTAATGGAGGAAGAAATATGTGTTGGTTTGGGTTTGTGTTTTCTTTTTTTCTTTCTTTTCACTTGACTTGCCTCAGCAGTAGTAGTGAGTTGTGAATAATATATCTTTTCCCTCTATAGCTACCACTGTCACTTGTATCCCTACCCCAGTAGCAATGAGGAGAGGAATGACGTTGTGGAAGGACTAAAAACTCGCATTCAGGACCTGCACACAGTATGTCTCACATTTTCTAAAATATCTAATCATGCAGATGTTTAATTAGTGACAGAAAAAGAAGTTATTCTGTTTGTCATTCACATAAGGTTTACTGTTAAATGTGTTTGCTGTCATGTCCTGTTAAAATACAACCCAGAGAACTTAGAATAGGAGCTCTCCAGGTATTTTGTTTTTTTTCCTGGTGGTGGGTCTTTAAGATAAAGCAATACAATGTTTACCAAAAAAGAAGTTTGCACAACATTTTGCGTTGAGTGAATTACGTTACATTTAAAAGAACAAAGAACTAAAGAACAAAATTAAAAGATTAACCCAATTGTTCCTCTTGCAAGCCAGTTCTGGCAGTTATAGGGTCAGTTGAGTTTCAGTCTGGGGCAGTGCTCCGTGAATCATTTGTTACCTTTAACCCACTGTGACTGAAAAATAGAATTGTACTCACCCCCTGTAGCACATGATCAACATGAGGCCTCAGCTGAAAGTTTAGCTGTTTTCTCTCTCTTTTTTTTTGTAATGCATTTTCATCCTCTCCCTTTTCGTGACTGCTTCTCTTGTCCTTCTTATCACTTTGTCTCTTATTCACACACACAAACACTCGAAATGCTTCTTGTTTAAAATGTAAATGTTTATTTCCCTCTGTTAAAGTTACATTGATAATCATAGAAATTCCTGAAATGATAAGTCTTATAAACCCTTTTTTCTTGTCTTGAATATCTTAATATGATGTACCACGCTGTTAATCTCTTACTGTGTCCAGGTGCTTCATAGGACAGAGGACTACCTGAGACAGGTCCTGATTAAGGCTTCAGAATCCGTCTACACCTGGGTCATCCAGGTCAAGAAGATGAAGGCCATCTACTATATTCTGAACCTGTGTAGTTTTGATGTCACTAACAAGTGTCTGATTGCTGAGGTGTGGTGTCCTGTCAATGACATTCCCACCCTGCAAAGAGCCCTGGAAGACGGATCGGTGAGGAAACTTTTAACAGAGTTGCTCTATTTTTGACTTTGGCCTCACTGCAGTTTTTCTTTTTCTGTTTATTTAACCGGGGCAGTTGCTTCATGAATTGGGATATTGTTATCATAAAAGCAAGTACTGTATGAGGAATTGCTTTTGTTTTTGGCCGCTTTAGTGTAAGAAAAAGATTTTTTTTTTCATGACTGAAAGACCACAGTTAATTCAGGACAGAGGCACTAAAGTGTCCCTACAGAGGGCTTTTTGTTTTTAAATAATTTTGCCACAACTGCTGGACCACATAGGGACATTACAACCGCTGTCTTTTTTCCCCTACTTTTTGTAGTGCTAATCAAATGTTTCAAGACATTACAGTGAAATTAGTTTATGGTCATTTGCTGACATTTTGATTTAACAATGATATTTCAGAGAAAAAGCGGAGCGACAGTGCCTTCCTTTGTCAATCGTATCCCCACCAACGACACTCCCCCCACCCTGATAAGGACCAACAAATTTACCTCTGGCTTCCAGAACATTGTGGATGCCTATGGAGTGGGCAGTTACAGGGAGGTCAACCCTGGTGAGTGGGACCGTTTTTTTTTTTTTGTTTTTTTTTTCTGTGTACAGATGCATGATCAGATGAGACTTCAAAATAAAATGTGCATGGGCCAAACTGAGATACAGTCAGTATCAGTTTGGAGATTTTACATGGTCTCATTGCACTGTATCAGAAGTCAAAGATGTATGAGATGGATATAGATGTAGATTCATGTGTTGTACAACTGTTTTTGAAAAAGAAAAAACTGAATCTGTAACACTCCCTCCGATAATGCATGCATGATACAAACAAAATTTAATCCAGAACTAATTAACTAATAAAGAATTAATGGGAAACTGCCAACATTATATAAAATCATCATACATATTTACTTTTCTTGTTTGTTTTTCTATTTCAATATAATTTTGCCAATATTAATTTTATATTTATGTGCCCACTATATTTTAATATCCTGTTGTCTTTATATCTTTAATTTTAGTAGTGCTACAGTATGTAAGTGTTTTTGTCCCTTTTGGTTCTCTCCTACTTATTTTCAGCTCCTTTCACAATCATCACTTTCCCCTTCCTGTTCGCTGTGATGTTCGGGGACCTGGGTCATGGTCTTATCATGGCTCTCTTTGCTGCCTGGATGGTGCTGTACGAGAATAACCGCAAACTTAAAAACACCAGGAATGAGGTGAGAGAGCACTCCAAAGCTATTTTTGAACTAATACTCTTTTAAAAGCTCACTTAAGTAACCAAGCAAAAACCTATGTGTGGCATCCAGTGTGTCTGAAGTGTTACTGAGTGATTTGATGTGCATGTGCAGATCTGGAACACATTCTTTGAGGGGCGTTATATCATCCTGATGATGGGCCTGTTCTCCATCTACACTGGTCTGATATACAATGACTGCTTCTCAAAGTCCCTTAATATCTTTGGTTCTGGATGGAGTGTGAAGGCCATGTTCAGAGAGAAGGTGTGGAAGTGAGTACTTCATGACAAGAAGGACATCATTATGACAGTAAAAACAGCAAAGCAGGCCCAGAAAATGCATAAGTATAATTTTAACTGTTAAGAAATTAAACCTGTGTGTTCAGAAACATAAAGATAAGATGACGTTTGTGGATATTTTTTTCATAATGACATACATAATGACACACTGTTGACTTTATTTGTACCTAACAGCAACAGTGTTCTCCTTGGGAACCGTGTTCTTACTCTGGATCCAAATGTTACTGGAGTTTTCACGGGACCGTACCCTCTGGGAATTGACCCTGTGAGTAGAGAATATTGAAGACAAGTTATTATGTATTGATTAATTAGCCATATAATGCCTCATATACATAGATTTTATCGTTTTATCATTTATCACTTAAGGTTACACATGCATACATACACAAGCATATTTTTGTGTGCATACAAAATAGCAGAAAACAATAAAAAAAATCCTAAAGAGCACTTTGCATGTCATTGATTTCCCTGAACAATGAGAACTTAGTTGCTCCACCAGTTACAAAAATGGCAGATCAAGTCGATCAGATTCTTAAATACACTTACCGTACAAACTATTTCTAATTTAGCAATTATGCAAGAGCACTACTGTACTCTACTACTAGAATTCAAGGATCACTTCCTGAAACAATAATTAAGCGATGAACATGCACTGCTACTGTAGCTGTTGTTTATGGGATTTAAATATTAATGCTGGAGTCAATCTTCTTCCAATCAAAACTACTCATTGTCTAATACAGAGCATGTCATCTTTCTGTTGCAAAGATTTGGAACTTGGCTACCAACCGCCTAACATTTCTGAACTCCTATAAGATGAAGATGTCAGTGATATTGGGCATCATACACATGAGCTTCGGGGTCGTCCTCAGCACTTACAATCACTTGTAAGTACCAGTTAGTTTTTTTTTTTTTTTTTTGTATTTTGGATGTTGTAGTTTTTAATTGCGTGTCTCATTTTTGTCAACAAAAACAGGCACTTTAAGAAAATGCACAACCTATACTTGGTATTTCTGCCTGAGCTCCTGTTCCTGCTGTGCCTGTTTGGCTACCTGGTGTTCATGATAATCTACAAGTGGCTGGTCTTCTCTGCCAAGGACTCCAGACAAGCCCCAAGCATCCTCATCCACTTCATAAACATGTTCCTCATGCAGGGTGATACACTGCAGCCCCTCTACCCAGGACAGGTGAGAAGCCAATGTAAAACTCTACTCCTGCAACAGTATCACATATGTCCCTGTTCTTATTGAACAGATTGAATCTAATATTGTTTAAAATACACTACAGATGTCACTGAGACAGATGGATCTTAACAGTGTAATGCAATATTGTTTTGCTTCTTTCAGGCTGGCCTGCAGGTGTTTCTGGTGGTCATTGCTGTTCTCTCAGTGCCTGTCTTACTCCTGGGGAAACCCATTTACCTTTATTGGCTTCACAATGGAAGCCACCGCCTAGGAATGTACAGGGTGAGTGTTTGAAATGCGTATCTGCCAACAAATGTCTCCAAATATTTGTTCTCTGACTGTAAATATGCAAATCTGATTACTTTGTCTGTGTGTTCTCAGGGATATGAGCGTGTGCGGCGTAGCAGTGAGGAGGAGCTCTACCTGATGAGGGCTCACGACATGGAGGAGGGCAGCAATCACAGCGATCTCTCTACTAGTGGAGAGCACCAGACGGAGGAGGTCAGGACAGCAAACCAACTGCATAGTTACCCACCCATTTTAACTATCCTTATAAACAACCGTTGTTTTTATACAGGTTTCTGTCAGTCACGCTGAGTTTTGCTTTGTTGTTGTTATAGTTTGACTTTGCAGATGAGTTCCTGCATCAGGCCATCCACACTATAGAGTACTGCCTAGGTTGCATCTCCAACACAGCCTCCTACCTAAGGCTTTGGGCTCTGAGCCTGGCACATGCCCGTGAGTATGATGGTTTGCATTACAACACACACACTACACATGTCAAACCTGTGCAAGCAAACGGTGAACACGAAGTGAATGTATAAAATTATGCATAACACAGGTTTTGTTCCAAATCAAAGAGCCACTTCACATTTTATTCCCTCTTTCATGATGTGTATTAGATGCCAACCTGTGTTTTTTCCTTTGTTCACTCATAAATCTACAGTATATAACATTTTCTGTAAAGCACAGTCTTAAGGCGCATTACAGAATACACACACATACAGACCGAACACAGCCTAGGATGAAAGTAATACAATGTGCTGTCATTGATCCAGCTGCAGGGTGTAGAGGCTGTGAGCATGTATACTGGTCATGCTGCAGCCTGCTGAGGTTTCAGTTGTGAATTAAGTTTTCAACCTTGTAGATGCCCCAATATAGTTTCTCATAAATTTTATTATGTACCAGATTTTCCTAGATTTCTGGGGCACTGCACTAGTTTTAGAAAATCCAACAGCACTCGAGCGTAATAAAAAAATAACATTAGGTTATGGCCCCTTTTTTCAGCTCCTGCAAATGCTCACGTGTTATCGGTATGAAGCAGGTCTCTAGATTTTTGCCTGTAAGAACTGATGTCAAACATTTATGTGGTCTTATCTGATGGTCTGACACTTCGTTATATTTTTCTTTTGCTATACCATAAGGTCAAAAAAAGTCCTCAATGAAAGCACTTTGATGCAATAAGTTTAATTCATTTTGCATGGCAAATTATAATTAAATGGAAAACTGATTACAGGGCAGTCTTAAGAAGGCAGAACCAAACAGCCATTTCATATCTCTAATATGTTGATATATCCTTGTGTGTGCGCTTTAGCCATTCTGTTGATATGACTTTCAATCAAAATTGAACCATGATGGAAGCGTTGAAGAAATCATCAAAGGTCGTATCTAATCAGATAACCAGCATGATTTAAACAGGAAAATGGGCATGGGGTCCCTTTCAAACTTAACATAAAAAAACAAACGTAAAATTGACAGAAAAATTGGGTGTGTCTGAAAAGGCCTCAAGGGTTGATTAGTCCCTCAGAACAAATGTAACCCTTTTGATTATTTAGCAATTATGCTGAACCCATTCAAACCATTTTGCAACCTTGGTCATGACCAGAAACATTAATAGAAATCTAGATCAAAGCCCTCAAATGTACATCGATTACAAGCCTGAGAATATTAGTAACTGGTATATAGCCTTTGTCTTTGTTACAATTCCCTAAAAGATGGTGCATGTGCTGTTTTCGCTGCGTTCACAGAACTGTCAGAGGTGCTGTGGACCATGGTGATGCAAGTAGGACTTCGAATGGACACTGCTCTCGGGGTTTTATTCCTGGTGCCTGTGTTTGGCCTGTTTGCTGTTCTCACTGTGTCCATCCTTCTGGTAATGGAGGGTCTGTCTGCATTCCTTCATGCACTCCGGCTGCACTGGTGAGATAACAATAACTCCTAAAGTACTTGTGTCATTGACAGGCCCAAAGTTCTGTGAATTGTTGTGTGTTTCATATTTATAGCTGCTGTTTGTTTCTTCCTCAGGGTGGAGTTTCAGAATAAGTTTTACAGCGGGACTGGAGTCAAGTTTTGCCCCTTTTCCTTCTCTCTCCTGCCCTCCAGCTTTGAGCATGATGGCTTACTGTGAACGGACTATCTTATAATACTGTTAAGTGGTAAATGGAGCCAAAACAAGCCAGCAGGGTTCTGTGCTCATACAGACATATTCCAGATATGTCATGAGGTGATTCTGACTTTTCTTTTCATCTTTTAATAATTTGTCATGCAAAGAAATTGTATGGTGATCTTCATAAACTTTGGACTGAATGCTGTCCTCCAAATTTTTTTGAGAACAGACAGTGCAGAGTGTACTGTTGACAAATTGCTGTTGCACATGTAACACAGGGTATTTTGTACCAGGATCAGTATGCTTCACTGCTGAACAGTTTGAGTTTGAACTGTCGGTCTCAAATTTAAAATTTAACTTGCATACTTAAAACCGTCAGCTCTCTTTTGAGACATTATTGGTAATAGTTGTCGATGTCACTTGGATGGAGAACCACATCCTATAAAGAATAGATAAGTAGAAAAGATATACGATTTTAGTATGAGATAATGGTAATAAGCAAATGCTTGGACCCAAGGTTTGGCTACACAGACAACACTTGATAGAATAACTTGGTTGTTGATTTCAGTCTTTTCATGGGACTTACTGATTAAATAAGATGGATAGGTAAAAGAACATCTATCTTTATCATCTCTTTATTTATTTATTTCAGTTTCCCTCCGTTTCTTCTCTTCTGTATCTAGTTATTCTGTCATTAATTTTAGCATAATTGTGTATATTAATGCTGTTATGTTTTTCACTGAGTTTTAGTTTTGGCTGATCTGGTCTCCATACACTGGGTAGTGAGCCACCTTTCAGTTACATAGTTCTTACTCAGCTTTTTGTTGCACTGACTGCCTTATCGAAGTACAACCAAATGACAGCATACTGTATCATTCTTCAGTTTCCCCCTTGTATTCCTACTTTGTGGTACCATAACACTGCAAAGGATCTTTGACTTTTCACTATTGAAAAGTGCTTGGGCGGGTGTGTGACGAGATGTATATACTTTGGCAGAATTATTTTTTTAATTTATTATATTTTAAAATGTCGCTTCAGAATTAAAGATGAATGTCAATGGAATATGATTTTTATGCATTCACAGTGTTGCCTATGCGTTCACTTACTGTACAATTTAACATTCCATGCATGGAAAACTTAAATCATTGATTTGTTGACCCAGCTCTGCTGGTCACAAGCCCCTTTGAAAAATCTTGTATCCATATTTAGCACAGTGGTTGGGCTGCATTAAATCTGATTAGGAGAAAATTTAATTATGTACTAATATCAGACATTAGTATTATTTGCTAATTTTGTGAATTTGTTAGTATTGTATGGAATTGGCATTGGATTTTTTTTCTAAGGGAAGGAGACTTAATTGTTAATGTTAATTGTCATCACATTATTGACTTGTCTGCACTTTTTCAATGGCAAGGTTGCTAGGTAAGATACTGCCACATGTTAATGAAAGTAATGACTTTGTGTATTAGGTTTTACAAGTGGAACAATATGGTTTCATATCTTTGAGACACCAGTGGAAATCACTGTTTTATTGGGGCAGAGTGCTGTTTGATTAGCAATCATTTGCCTTAATTGACACTCAACTGTTGTTGGTTGGTTGGGGTATTGTAGTTTCCTCTAATGCAGCCCTAATCTTGCATCTTTGTTTCATTGTCAAACACTCCATGATCCAGTTCTTTTGGGGGAAAAAAAACCCTCATCATCATGTCTATAATAAATTGTATTTGTTTGAGTTGTTTTTTTTCCTCAGAGCCCATAACTACATTTCTGTATGGAAATCGACACCAAGACACTTCCCCCACTTGATGTAGCAGCATTTTACATTTTAAATATGTTTGAGGGCTTTCAGCATAGAATGACCAAATTCATTAACTTAAGTGAATAGTAGTTTCATTCTGGGGAGGTGGCTTTAAAATGTTGCTTTATGTCAATGTGATTTGTATCTCTCTCTCACTCACTCACTCACTCACTCACTCACTCTCTCACACACACACACACACACAGAGCCTTGAAATTATTTGTCTGAAACAGTTACTCATCTTGTTCTACTTTTTTTGATTCGTGAACTGATCATTGATGAGTCAATTAAACCAGCTGATCCAGTCATCTCTCATTGGATTGATCAGTTTTTGATTAATTAATGAAATAGCACCCATTAATAGCATATTTGACAAAGTAAAAATGTAATTATTTACTTTGTTTAACAAAATTATATACTTTATGTATTAATTGTTTAATGATTATTAACTTCGTCATTAACAAATCGTTGATATTTTTCTCCCATGATGGAGTAATTGGCTTGGTAGTCAATAATGTGCAACTAGCGTTGAAAACACTTAATTTTAGATTGATATGTAAATTACTTTCCCATATGAGGTTTCCGATTTACTTGTGAAAGATCTATCTAGGTTTTCAAATCCCTGACCTGTCTTCAGTTTAAAAGATGACTAGCACAGTGCATATGTGTAAGGTAGTGAAGCTGCTTCCTTCCAGTCATCACTCTGGGAACCAATTTCCCAATGTTTATGCGGAAGGCGTTTGATGGTTGCCAAGGCAACGTGAAACCGTTAAGTAACACGACTGCTTGGGTAGTAGTTAAAGGTACTCACAACCGCAAGTTAATATTGAGAAAGGTTCAAATGGTGACTTTACCAGAAAGTAGTTAAGGTTTTCTATTGTCCAAATGTTAACTAATAACTGAGAAAAATAATGGTCCACGACGATTTAAGAGTGGAGTGGATCCGAGAGCGGGTGACTGCTGGCTTCAATTTATGGGACTGTCCCAACTGTTTCGACGAACTACTCAGCCGCGAAGATGGAGAGGAAGAGGAGAAAATTATCCGGTATTTGAACATTGTGTCAGAGGAAGACTCACCATCATGTCTTCTTTTTTTCAAAACTATAAGAGAAGAGGAAATTGAAGTTGAAGTTCCAGTCGGTAAGTAGGCTATAGTGTAGCCCTACTTTGTCCCTCTACTGCATTAGCATACACTGGACTCACATAAAGTATATACTAGATAAAGCAAATGACAAATCAAAAATGTTGTAATTTACATTGTAAATCAAAATTAGCCTATATGAAGTATGTATTGTCATCATGTATTGATTGCTTGAGCTTTTCACCAAAGTAAAGTACTGTGTTTAGAATTTTGTTAACATGAGAACAAGACTGCATTTAAGGAAAACGTTTATAACCCCAGATAGGAGGAAAGATGGAGACTCTTTGGATCCTGACAACAAGTCCTGGAGCCAAAGTGGAGCAGACATAACCTCAGGATCAGACGACACCAATGAAGAAAGTCCCAGTCATGTGAGATTGAACTTAAATTCATGCCCTCTTGTCTTAATTATTTTCACATTGTGACTGTGTTAGAAATCATTTAACAGTGTATCAGCAATGGAGAGCATAGGCAAAAAAATGTTTAACCTGTTTCTTGTGTTGTGTTTTCAGGGGATCGAGGTTCAAGTGGTCTACCATACTGAGCTTCATGTAGCAGTAAACCAACACCCAGAGAGATTTTTGAAATCCCGTGTCTTCTACTTTCTCAGGAACATAAAGGGTGAGAAGAAAGTTCAGTATCAATAAAACATTTTCAAACCTCTATTGCATATAAAACAAATTAACCAAGAGATTTTTCTTTGTGTTTTAAATAGAGACCATTGTTGAACCACTGGATATGAATGAAGCCAATATCCTGTTGCCTAGGCTATTTGACATTGGCATGCATACTGGACACCCGCTTCATGTGCTGCAGAACAAACTTGCCGAAGTAAAATGAAAAACAATTCACTAACAACTAACCACAACCACTTTCCTTCAGACAAAAACTTAATGTAACAATAGCTGAAAAGCATATATTTAAAAAATGTCAGATTTTTTTTGAATAATGAGTACAGGATGTATATTTCCACTGTGTTTCCTCAGGTGTATATACCCTTGCTTACTGTCCACCAGATGAAAGTAACTGGTGCAGGTTATCAAAGCAGGGCAATTTCTTCTCAGAAGAAGACCAGTGGAGAGGGCAAAGAGGAGAGTTCAGCAAAGTTAAGTGAGCAAGTGATGATTCGTGATGAGTTGCTCAACAGGACGCACAAGTATTTGGGAGTTGTAAACACAACTATCCAACAATTCCAGATTCAAGGTTTGTTTTATTCAAGGTACCAAGGGCTCATTATTTTTAATTTCAGGAATTTATCAGTATTGGACAATTTTAAAAAATGTTATTGAAGTCTGGAAAATAATGTGCAAGGCTTAAATATACTGTTCCTGTTTATTTTTAATACTCCTTTCATAATAAACAGTACAATCCAAAGATGACTCTCTTTGTCACAGATGAGATTATGCTGCATATCCCTGAGCTAGACCTGGAGCCGAACGTGGATGTTCTGCTTTCTAATCCAGAGATAGTAGAGAAATTGGAGCAGTGTGTGATGAACTGGCAGACTCAGATTACCATTGTTCTTGAGGAGCAGCAAAACAAAAAGCCAAAGGTTGTGACTCTTTATGTGTTCTGAGTTTTAACCCAGGCAGGCTTGGTGTTATTGAAGTTAAGCCCAGCATTCACATGCATAGTTGCTGCTGAAATGTCTGAACTATTTCTAACAGGATTAAATCCCTGTTGGCTCAAAATTAAATTATTAGGTAGCAGAAAGTATAAAACATGCACAGTGATATCCATAAACCAAAGTCAAACATTCCCTTTCCATTTTCCTCCAGACACCTAGCCCCATGGCCGAGATAGCTTTTTGGCAGGAGCGTTCATCCATTCTGGGTGCTCTGAGTGAGCAGCTCAAACAACCTGTGATAAAGAAGATCTTGCACGTGATGACCAAAGCAGATACAGGCATTATTCAGACCCTGGAAGGAACGGTTTATGAACTTCTTAAATGCTGTGTGGAGTCAGACGATAATATACGCTTCCTCAGCACACTGGAAAGACACTTCATGGTGAGCTGCACTTTTTTATAAATGCACTGTTTGCTGAATATTCTTAACATTGACTTTACATTGACAGCAGTGAACTGTAACTACCAAGAGTTAGTAGTTACATAAAACACGCTTGCCAAAAATATTTTTTAAATCAAAAGAGTGATGACAGAATTGTTCTGCTATCCTCACCTTCACATCTTTCAAAGTTTCCATTGTCTGTTGTAGAATCTGGCTTCTGGAGCTGATTTTGGTGTGATCCTGGAGACGATCCCTCCTCTGATGGACAGCCTGCAAATTGTGTGGATAGTCTCTTGCCACTATAACACAAATGAGCGTATGGTTCCTCTAATGGAGCGTATTGCCTGGCAGCTGTGTGAACGAGTGTCTCAAGTAATAGATGTCCACACTTTATTCAAGTATGTGTGATTGGAGGTTCAGATCTTAGACCTAGTATAGTGTTCAGTGGTCAGAATCCTTTATATTCAAACAGGATGTTTTGTAGTTTGAGTATAACTTAACAATGTACTGTGCCCTGGACAGAGATAAGAGGGAAGTGGCCAAATCCAAGATCAGTGATGCTAAACGGGTTCTGGACCTGTGGAAATCATCCTACTTTGGAGTACGCACTGAGATTGAAGAATCAGGAAGGGACGCCCGCTGGGAATTTGACCGCAAGAGACTGTTTGAGAGGACTGATTACATGGCTTCTGTCTGCCAGGACCTGTGTAATGTATTGCAGGTAGGTGTACATACACCTCATAAATACTGTCCTGTCACTCAATTACTGAACATGGAAATGTATAAAAAGCAGTTCTCCTGAATTTGTTTTGCGCAGATTTTGGAGGAGTTCAATAATATCTTTGGCCCAGAGCTAAAAGGTGTGACTGGTGACCCAAAACGCATTGATGAAGTGCTGTGCAGAGTGGATGGTCTGGTTTTGCCTATTGAGGAGGTCGATTTTAGTCCTTTCAACATTTGTAAGATGAGAAGCTGGAAAATGATCATGCGAGATTTCGACGCTACAGTTCAGGTGAGTTTAGGACATCTAGAATGCAGAAGCTGTGAAAATGTGAGTTCTGGGTCAATTAAGCATGGCGGTATCAATGTACTTGTCAGTTCACACCAATAAAATTGCATTATTTTCTGTGTGCTGTACCTCAGCTATCAAGCTAATTCACTTTTTACATGTGTCTGCTCAGGCTATTGAGGGAGAGGCCATCAGCTTCATTGATCAGTCTTTTAAGACACTGCGCTCTGCAGCCGCTGCCTTTGACATGCTCATGAAATTCAAACACATCCGCTCCAGAGAGACCATCAATAACCATTTGATGAAAAAGTTCAATGACATCCTGGCTCAGTACTGCAAAGAGGTAGTGCACTGTGAAATCAAGAAAAATGCTGGTTGATACTTGACTGTGTAGTTAAATATTAATTACTATCAAAGGTCATTACAAAGCTTTTGTTGAGTGAACAAACTAAATTTAGAAATTACCTATGACATTTATTCTATATACCTCTGATACATCCAGGTTCAGCCTACATTGCAGTTAGCCTCATCATTCAACACTTTAAAAAAAATGCAACTTAATAATATAACAATAAACGATATTTCATGTTGTGCTGCTGTACCAGTTTATTATAATAATTTTGAATAGAGCATGGTCTGCCACTTTTGTACAACATCTAAGTCTTCTTTTTCTTTGTTTTTAGGTGGCCCGCATAAATGATATCTTCGAGGCAAAGAAGGATAAACCACCGCTTAATAAGAATGAGCCTCCTGTGGCAGGATCCATCAGATGGAC